CTGTCTAATCGCTTTAGTCGCTCGCCTCAGTCGCTTCAGTCGACAGGCGACTCAGGCGACTGAAGCGATCATGGTCACGTGGTACTTTAATCCGACGAAATCCATGGATCGCTTAGCTAGCCTAAGGATCCCCTTCTGCTATAAGAGTTATGATAATGCTCGACCTGTCAGGGCGCCGCCTGGTCTTCACTATCTCCCGTGGTAACACGTGATTCGTGACATAGCATATCTATTACTAAGGGTTATATAACGATTAATATACTACTTAGACTAATAGACTTTTATATATTTAAGATCGAACTTCTATTTATTATATATCTTTAAGAGTTAGATTATTATAAGACTACTTTCCTTAATCTTAAGAATATAATTCGACGTATAAATAAATCTTATATAACTATTATTCGATAATTCGGATACCTTTTTATAGTATAAGGATAAGCTTTATATAACTTTATATAGTAATTCCTAACCTTTCTAACTAAGACTAAATTACGTTAACTCTATAAGCGATTTAGTGTAACGAATACTCAAACTGGCTAACTAAACTTGGCTGGGTGTTCGCTGGTTGGTATGCTATGATAAGAAGAAGACTATCGGGTTGTTCACTTGGAAGTGAACTCGTTACTTGTATCAAAGATGTCAAAACTAATATGATAAGATTGATAACTAAGTTGAGCACGAAGCTCCTATCTAATGGCAGACGTGCCAGTCTTATATAGAACCTCCATGTTCCTGTGCTAGCTTGCTAGCCCAGTCGCCCCGTCGCTGCAAGACCGAGCGACCGGTCGCCCTGTCTAGCACAGCTAGTCACGTGATTCAAATGAAACGAAATCCGTGGATCGCTTAGCTAGCCTAAGCATCTTTATTTGCTATAAGAGATATGATAGTGCTTGACCTGTCAGGACGCCGCCTGGTCTTCACTCGTCACATGCTCACACGTGATTCGTGACAACTTAGTACTAAGCACTACTATATAATAGTAGTAGTACTTACAACACCTTTACTCGGTGTGTATAACTAATAGTCTTTATAATACAATACATTTGATACTGAACTATTAGCCTTGTATCATACTTTCCTTACTGTCTTTTCGGCTCTATTGACTTAGAGTCAAACTAACAGGCGTAATAGGTTTAGTATGAAATGTGCCCCCCTTAATTTTAATAAGCGCCGCCAGCCTCTCTTAGCACCTTCAAGAAGCCCCTCTTAAATTCTTTTCATCGCTTAAGACTGATATCTTCGGACCATTAAAGTAGCTCTTTATATGTGGTATGTTAAGCAATAGGTGTGACGGTTATGGTCACGAGGGCTGGATGTCACATGCTCGCTTAGCGAGGCGCTAGCGCGCACGACCTGTATTTAGTTCCCAGCTCTCTGGAGCTCTCCTTCTTTCCTCGTCTTTTGTCCTAAGAATAGAGTGTTAATTGTTCTGAGTTCTACCTGAAGCACGTCTGTCACAATAGGCTCCAACTTGCTTTACTATCTTAATACTAATACATATATTTCTGCCACTGTTTACGGGGTTAAGTTAATAGTGCGCGCAACAGATGCTAATAACAGAGGTTTAATTTGGAAGGTTGTTGTATTTAGGCTATAAAAGGTCTCGTGAATTGTGTTGTAGCGTGCGCTCGGTGTGGTTTATATGCTTGGTATATAGATTGACAGAACATACATTTGACAATAGCAGGGATACTATCCTCACAACTATTTCACCAAAGCGAATTATACTAAATTTAGTAAACAACATACAACTGTTCTAAATTTAAATCTAACTACCCAAAAGTAGCTATCTACTAGAGGACTGCATCGCACTTCCTTCCACACAAAGTGGTCTACGCCAAGCGAGACACCAGATTAACCATACGGTATGTCTTAGCTTCTACAACAAGCGAGGCGCTGAATGAACCATACTTTTAGCGAGAGATTCTCATATAGATATACGCAAAGAAGAAAGAAACACAAGACTTACACCTGAGTCCCTTCCTAGGCACTTGAAATATACTTGTGGTGTCTTACTATTGTCCCAGAGCATATTACACTGCTTGGTGGTCTGGAAATCGCCAGTGGGATCATGCGTACACTATGTATTATTTTTAGAATAATAATTTGTTGTGCTGGGTCTACTTTCTCTTTTGCTCCACTTCCTTACTTGATCCACTTATAGTTCTGCTGCCTAAATGCTTCATGTCTGCCTAAACCTTACACTCTTTATATAAACACCTTAGATAGCTACCTTTTACAATGAAATCAATTCTCCATGACCTTCAGTACCCAATACCCTTTCAACCCAATATAATTGTATAAGTGAAGAGATATGGGACGTACGCAACCAACTTTGCCACCGCATGTTTGGCCCCCGGGAGGATTGAATGTCCCGCTTAGACAACTGTATGGATACGCGATATCATTCTGGCATGTTACTCCTGCAATAAAAACGCCAAGTATGGCGAAGGTGGTGGTTGAGATTTGCATGGTGAGACGATGATATTTCAGTTACGAAGGTAAAAGATTCGAGATATAGATCTATAAAGAGCTGAGGTATTCAAAAGTGTAGAGAGGGCATAACAATCATTTATATGTATTCGCAAACAAACACAATATATTGTACCCAATCATCGCTATCGGTCTCGGACTTCGGTTCGTCGCATGAGAAAAGGCGTGGCAAATCTAAACATAAGTGATTCGCTAGAGTAGACCTAGTAAATAAACCCCTCTTACAGGGGTCCATATTCTACTCCATATAGTGTGGCGCCCTGATAGTTGCAAATATGCTATTGAAAGACGTGGGAGGAGTGGGAGCCGGTAAAACGAAGCTTTTCCAAATTGGTAACAAGCACTCGTATCCGACATTTGTTTCAAGTTTCCGTTGTCTACTGGTAAAGATATTATGCGTGCATTACTGTATCTTCTGGGCACAGTTCACGTGGCCATACTGAGTGGAACCATTACTAACCTCTGAATTATCCTTAAAATCCTCTTTATTACTTACATCATAGCTAATTAGTCTTCAACCTTCCCTTGTATTAGTCTTTGACGGGCTTGGAACAACTACCTACTCACTCAGCAGATAGCCGAATTTGCAAGCGTATACCAAGTACACCTCAATGGCCGGCGTTATACAAAATTAAGTCTAAACTGGGTGCTTGAATACTCTGATTTTCATTCCTGAACTCCTTTGGAATATCTCTCCCATCATCCTTAAAACCAATCCTCCTGTGCACGCACTAACTGGGTATAGTTGAGGCTCGAATGCTAGTAATATAGGTTTGTATGGGATAAACAACGTCCTTGGGCATCTGTTATAGGTTGCACACGTGTAATTTATATATGGGCCTAGTACATGGATTAGCAAAATAATACCAGTGAGGGTGGAAGGACATGACCAGACAGATGAAAATGACCATCAGCTCCTCAAATAACGTTGAGTAAAAGACGTATACCGTCCACTCAGTATCGACTTTCCACGGCACAATTCAGAGCGGGACTTCGTTTAGTCGGCTACGTAATTAAATGGGAGGAGTGGGCTTGTCCATTCATTGAATTATAGCCACATCCATATTTACCTTCCTAATATCCGACATTTTGGCCCGTGGTTGCTGCGGTTGAAAAGACCACAAACTTCTTCCCAGGCGAAATAAACGTAAAATTTCCAGGAACCCTTCTCCCTGTTTCTCGCTTCAGCCACCCTAAAAAAGTTACTTTTCTTTCGCCTAGGACGAAGTATATCAGTTCACGCCAAAGCTACCAATGTCAAACTCGAGACGGCAGTCCAAAACAGCATACCCTAGGACTCATACCCGTGGGAATCAATGTCGCAAGTACCATCACAAGGTCCCCCCTTCATGCCAAACCTTTTTGCAATCCACCGTTACTTCCCTACTTCCCTTTTAACCCATTTACTTATCGTTTAAACGTCCTCCGAGATCTGACGTACCTTCAAAGAAGCTTAGAAGTGTGTAGCAAGCAGCTCTAGGAAACTTTTAGTTTGGGCAAAACTGAAAATGTAGGGTGTGTTGTTTTGGACTACCGGGTCGAGTTCGAACGGTACCGAACATTCAAGTTTAAAATTGGCTAGCTGCATTAGTAGGCCATGTTTAAGATACAAACATAATCATTGTCCCAGGAAAACTACCTAGCATGGCTCATGAGAAAAATGTGTTTTCTATTCCACTGCTAGGTCTCTATGTGAGATCTTACATATTACTTACTAGTCAAAACCATCTCAATACCTATTCTATTCACATCACAACAAAATCTACCAAAAACAAAACAACCCATCACCGTTTTCCAACATACTCAGTTAATTACAGTCCTCAAATTCCCATAGCAACTCCACAGAAACAAAAAAAGGCATAAATACATCGCACCTAACATTCAGGACACCTCTTTACCTATCCTCAATGAGCATTGAGAAACACCGAAAGCTTTTCCGCAAAAGTCCGATCAAGTGGTACAAGTTTCCCTAGGGAGTACGAGAAGAATATGAATCAGTTACCCTATATATCTGCAGATATTTGGGGTTTTATAGTATGCTCATAGCCATGAGACCTAATCATATGTACCTTACTGTCCTGACTCCTTTGCACATCCTGATCCTAAAATGGTGAGGGTCGATACTTGAGAGAAATATCAAATATAAATGAATAGGCAATTACGAAGACTTAACAAGCTGAGATGGCCTAGCAGCTAGAAGGAAAAGTATTTTGCTGCTTAGCGGTTAATCCATGATCATGCATATAATATGATATAAGAAGCACAGGAACATACTGATGGCCCTGAGTCGTGGACGCAGATAGCAGAAGATTTCAGCAGTACCGGTACTTTATATTTTACATATCGCCACTTCCCCTATTCTAATCCTTGTATGATACAAAATGAGAGTAGAAGACAGGACGGTATAAGGATTTATTGAAGGAGCCTCGCCTGAAAACAACCGGGTATCCATTCAAACCTATCTACCTATCCAACTCACCTCTCTAATCTAACTTCCCAGCCCCCTAACCTTCTAGCCTCCTCCGACTCCACTCCACACAAACATCACTAGTCCCCGCATCACAAAAATCATTCATAACCACAACCAAAATCCCATCCACCAACCGTCTCCCCTCCCTCTGAATCCAGGGTAGGGTCTTGGAATCACAAACCGGCTTGGTGCCTAGCAAACAACTCGAACTAGCATTAGTATTCAGCACACTAAACGCCACGACTTCCGGGATATTCGTCGCCGTAGCCTGGCATTGTAAATTCGTAAATGGATGACCATTCTGTTTCTCAGGGGAAAGGGTGTTGAATTCATCGATTATCGAGTCACCGTTGATAGTCGCGTTTCCGGCGTCCGTGTAGGTGGAGAAGGAATCAGAGTTTACGAAGAGGATGAGCCGTTTTTGCTCGGCGCGAAGTTCGGCGGTAGATTTCGTGAGCATATCGTCCAACGTCCCGTGAGCGATGGCGCCGTTGGTGGTGTTGAGCGCGTTCTGGAGGTAGTTGTTCATGTCTTCATCACTGGGATGTGCACATTCGCCTGGTACACCATCCCAGCGAAGTTGGACAACGGCGATCTCATCGGGATGTTGGACTAGAAAATCGACGAGCTCGCGCAGGAATTGGGCGTATGACATTCCGGGGATGGCGGAATGCATGAAATATAGCTCATCGGGGATTCCAGTACAATGTCGGATTTCATTGTGTAAGTAAGCAGGACGGAACTCGAAGTATCGTACGCCGATGCTGAGGATGGTGGGGAGGGTATCTTTTTGAGTAAGAGCCAGACCTTTGACGATGTTGGGGGCAATTGCTTTGGCAGCTTCGCGTGTCATCATGCCCGCGACCTTCGCAAAGATAGGGTTTATTTTTGTCAATACTTCAATCAGCGCATCACTTTGGAGGACCATTTCTGAATTCTGCATGGAATTCATGCCCACATCATGAGCAGCCGGGAGCATGAACTTCGAGAACGGCTTCTCTGCCTGCGGTGACCCAGGAGGCGCAATTTGGCCCATCCAACTCGAATAATTTGGCCCGACGGAGACCCAACATTGATCACTCTTCGGCAACCCGGCACACCCTTGATGGGTTATCGCATCTGGCGCGTCGTAAAAGCCATATGTGACAATCGCTTCTTCCGTCATAACGCTCTGTGTATTTTCCATGGATCGTAGGTTGCCATTCTCCAAATTGCCAGTGATTACATTGATAACAATGCTCTCCTCAGCAATTTGGTTGCCATTATGCGTGACTTGGAAAGAGAATGTGCCGCTGAAGTTGAAAGCTCCGCTGATTTCTTTCTTATCGACTTCGAGGTGGTCTTGTCCGAATTGACGGAGCTGATCTTTGCAGATTGTGGTACCCGGGACCGAGAATTCGATTTGGCAGCCTTCGACGGCGACGTAGAAATAGCAGTCGATTCCTTTGCTAGGCATGGCTGTTTTCTTAATTTGATAGATTCAGTGGAAGAGCGTATTCGTTGCTGGGAATAATAGTGATAGCGGCAAGTAGTGAGAAGGTAGGTGTAGCTGTAGGTATGTGAGATTCGACCGCGGCGAAGTCGTGAAACGAGGGGTGCAAGTTGGTCAAGTCAGGTTGCACAAAAGCAGTTTGTAGGATTCACTAAGACAGAGAGAGTAGAAGAGAGGAGCTGAAAACGAAAAGAAAGAGGTGGCACAGCTCGAAGGGAGAAAAAGGAAATATACTGTAGCAGTCTTTGTATATCAGATATTAGGAAACTTCTCCCTGCCCGCTTGGGCTCTACTTCTGGGGGGCGAACTTAGCTGAGGAAACTGCGCCATGCGGCTGGGCGCTTCGACGCGGGGGTAGTCGTGGTCTCTTCTGCGGACAATACCAATACTATACTGCATGGTGAAAGTTGAACGAGCAAAGCTGGACTTGAAGCTGTTGACAATAAACAGACGAGAAACTCGAGGAAAGTTGAAGTCCCAATGACGTGGACGTGGGCGTGGACGTGCTCCTCTTTTCCCTCCACTGCGACGAACGGCTTTGGTGCAGTGGCCCCTCACTCGTTCCGATGGTCAGACCACTCGGAGTGAACATCGGACCTCCCCCCTCAAGAAGCCCTGCGAGATCTCGCCAAAGCGCCAAACACAACAAAAAACAACAGCCCATCTCAGAAAATTTCTATTCAATTAAGATTAAAAATTACCATCCGTCTCTTCTGCTTAGTTTCCTCGTTTCAACGACTCTCATAACAAATACCACTAATTATCATATACAATCCACATCCCATTTCAATCCATCACAAAAAACATTAAAAATATATCGCGACAACCGAGAATCCTTCCCGACTGCTTTCCCGAGAACTTTTTCCATAAGAATCGAAGAGAAAACATGGTCCCACATCGTGTCGAATGAGTGTGTTGTTTGATAATCCATGTACGATTGCTCCAAAATTTGGGTTAAGAGAAATAGATCCCTCGCCTGCTCGCAAGATTGGAATTTGAATAAGTGAGTGACCGTTTTTATAGGAAATATGCGATGAAGAGACCGAGTGCTGCAAGAGCCGTGGAGGCGGCTTTTGTGACAGCGTGGCCGGTGAACTCGACCGCTGGAGGTGTGGAAGGGGATGTAGGCTTGTTGCCTCCGTTTCCGCCGTTGTTGCCATTTGCCCCATTTTGGCCATTGGCCCCGTTTGCCCCGTTTGCTCCATTGTTGCCGTTGTTTCCATTGCTTCCGTTGTTTCCATTGTTGCCGTTATTGCCATTATTTCCATTATCGCCATTATTTCCGTTGGTACCATTGTTCCCATTTCCGCCTGTGTTGTTTCTGTTCGCTGGGCCAGTGGGAGCAACAGGGCTGTGAGATTTGTTAGAAACTTTCAAGAGGCTAGGATGGATACTGGGTAGCTTACGCTGTAGCAGTGGCAGATCCAGGGGCAGAAGTCAAGATTGTGGAATTGCTGGCCATGGATGGACGCATAGAACTGGAGGAAGTGACAGTTGAGTTGGAAATTGAAGACGAAGCGATACTTGAACTAGCTGTACTCGTGACCATAGAGCTTGACGATGGCATAGCTGACGACGATAGAGCTGAGGAAGAACCGGACGAGGTTGATGATCCACTCTGGGACGAGCTGCCCGAAGAAGAAGAGGGGGTGCCACTTGAAGAGGAGGGAGCACCGCTTGAAGAGGAGAGAGCACCGCTTGAAGAGGAAGAGGGGGCTGATGAGCTGGGGGAACTCGTTGAGCTGATTGGTACTGCAATTCTAGGCATTGGAACCGGAACACAGTTTGCTGAATCAGGGATTGTTGCTATGCTGCCATTCTCTCCATGAACTAAGCAGTTCTTGGAGCATGCAGCATCACCGGCATCCGGGCTTGTCTCGAAGCAAGGAGAAAATTTGATACCGGTTGGGAATTCGTTTTGAAGGATGGCATTGCAGTTCTTCGGCGAAGGCTGACCATTCGTGCAAGTGAAGATAACATTGGTGTTGAGGGACCCTTCGAGACCGCAGAATTGCCCATCAGGCTTGTTACCACAAGAGAATGCCCCGGTCTCCCCAGTGCTACGTGCTTGTCAGTTGATCGTATCATGATGGAGGTAATGTCAGAACTCACTATGTAAGACCTTGAGCACTGACAATGGCAGCCGAAGTTACGAGGATTGTAACAGAGTACTTCATTTTGAGGAAATGTTGGTTTTGACTTCGTGATGACTGAAATTTTGTACGTTCTGGAGCGAGTGTGTTTGTTGTACCAAGAGAGCCAAAAGAGCCAAAATGGAAAGAAAGCGAATGTAGTGCAAAATGCGGGGTTGGAGAGGAGAGATTGATATCAAACGACAGTGGTGTTGTGTTGGAGTGGAACTAGATGAGGTCGAACCTTTCTTGTACTTTTCTCTTCCTTTGTTCTGGTTAGGAATATATTTTGGGAAGGAGCGAGGCAGTGTTTTTATATGTGTGACGAAATTGTATAAAATTCTTGATCTCCATGTTGCCGTTTCCGTAAAGTTCTGTGAGTTGAGGAAGGAACGATTAAGTGGCTGGCACTTTCCTCTGCTTGCGGCTTTGTTTGAATTCAGCCACAGGCCCAAAATGGGTCGTTTGCCGAGCTGTATAGCCCCAAGGTACTCATAACTTTGTTTGAACGTCCAACATACTGCCATGACGAGGAATGCGCGAAAGAAGGAGGCTGAGTTGCGATGTTTTTCTTGAAAGCGGTCAGTTTGTATCGTAGCGACTCGTAAATAGTTGCTGCTCAAACTTCATGATACCCAGGCAGAAATCTATGAGCTGGGTTCTGAGGGTTGGAGATGATCAACTGTAGATATTGGAGTGTTATATTGATGTGGACAATTACATGCAGCATTATGTATCCGGATATGAATATGCTATTTTAGGTAACAATAAAAGATGGTCGATCCTAAAAATCTTTTGGTGTTCCCAAACCTCAAGTGGCTGGAAGCTGGAATGGAAGATGCCGGAAGCCGCCGATTACGGCCCGAGAGTGTGGGGTAACGTAACCGACACTCGATGAGGGGAGAGGATGACTGCTCCAAACTTGCCACAGCTACTCAATTTCACATACACGTCTGCTGCGTATGCAACGATTTGTTTAGCTGGATCAACCTTACTGCGATAAATCCTTACCAGGAAGCAGAGAAACCAACCGAAAAAGTACCATTCAAGATCAGCATATTCTACCGGATATCGGACATCGTCTTCCAATCATTACCATAATGTACGAATCAACAATAAGCTTTACGCTCGATATGATTTGTCCCTGGTCAGTCATTTTCATCCGTCCTTGCCTAAGTCGTCCCTGACATGATGCTTCTAGGACTTATCTAGCTAAGAAGAGGTTCGCATTATTTGAACTTATATACATAATAGAGAAAGCTGATCGTAGAACTCTATTTTTAGACTCGATGAAGGTAAGAGTACCACATTCCTGCCTTTGCGTTCCACACATTCCAGATGATAGAGCGGTGGTTGGGTCACGTGATTTGCTTTACGTCCCCCTTTTCAACTAGTTTTATCCTATCCTGTTGAAAAAGAGATGCTCTGAGTTCTATTCAGGAAGTTTTGGATTTTTCTTCAATGCATTGTTCTCGTTTCCTTACCGAGCCTACTCGGAACAAACGCAACTCATGAGAAGACCATATACAACCTTTGACTAACAACCTCAGCCCTCCGAATCGTCCGCTCCACCGATGCCACTTCAAAAGTAACCTTCAAGATCCACTTCAATCCGTACCAACACTACCCCTCCGCCAGCCAAGAAGGCGAAGACAAATACACCTGGCTCAAAAAATCCCGCTATGGCGACTCGGAGGAAAGATTGCAAATGTACATCACCCTCATGAGCGCCTACGGCGCCTCAGCAGGTATAGACTACAAGTTCACCGGCACGATCGCGAACTTCCTCCATGCCCATCGTGTGATCCAGTATTTTCAAGAGAAGGATGGTCCTGAGGTGGCGGATAAGTTGGTGATGGGGCTTTACAGAAGGTTCTTTGAGGAGGAAAAACATCCGGCGAGTAGGGAGACACTGCTTGAGGCTTGTAAGGAGGCAGGTATTGAGATGGGGGAGGCGGAGAGGGTGGTTGGTGATGAGGAGGTGGGGTTAAGGGAGGTGAGGGCGAGGATTAGGGAGCAGGTGGCGGATGGGGTTGATTCTGTGCCGGTGGTTGTAATTGAGGGGAAGAGGAGGGATCTTACTCTCACAGGTGCGAAGGAAGTTGGTGATTATGTCAAGGCACTTGAGATGATTGTTAAGGAAAGCAACTAAATAGGAGTGCAGACTTTACATCTTTTCTTTGTTGTAGTTCTGTAAGTCCATAGATTGTGGAGGGCCTTATTATATTATGACACAGGAGTATGCCCCTTACTCTGGCCCAGGAACTCTCCTATGTACTGTACCTTCAGTCGGCCTCACGAGTCTGATTAGAAAAGCTCCCGAGTTATGTGCTGCGTACAGACTCAATTACTAGGCTCTGCTTTACCCGTAGTCCAGGAAGATATCCCATAACTAATACTGCGCACATCTATTCGAGGGGTTTGTGGAATAGCCAGGTAGAATCTAAAGCGGTTATAAACAGAATTATTCCATGTTCAAAAACTGGCGCATCAGAAATAGACGAAATCCAAAACAAGCTCCGTCTGCAAGCCAAAGGGAAACAGTATTTGACAGAAACGTACGGTCAAGCAAGAGGCAACCTGTTCGATACTTTTTGAGCGTACCTGAAGTGAAGAGACTCGCCGGAGGCTTTGGGACTTTCATTGTATCTTGATTGGATGTCGTAAGATACTACGGGGACATCAATCGCTTTCGGATACTGTATGTAAGACAAGCGGGCATTACTCTGTACACCCCTGAGTTATAAAAATATTAGTCTAAAGACCTTATACAACTAAATTAATTATACGAATATTTATAATAATTAGTACTTTTTACTCTCTACTAAGCTAGGTAAAATAGGACAATTAATTAAGTTAAACCAGACTTTTGGTATAATAACCTATAATAGCGTGTACAGAGCAATGCCCGCCTCTCTTACTACCGCTACCATAAGTGACTATTGTACCATATAAATATTATCTGGTTGAGGTATCGTTGTGTTATATCCGAAGTTTTCATAACAAATGTTAAAATTTAGTGGAGCAATTACCATGCATTCCACTGAAAGATTCTCTGCAGACTTTCTAAATTTGAATATTTGTTAGGAACCAAGATCGGCGTGAGGGGATGATTCAGACGCATGAACCCGACGAGTACCTAATACGAGGGAAGAAATACAAAGTTCATTTATGTGAATCGCTTAAGTCAGGGGTCTTTGCAACAGGAAGACTTGGATGGCATGTCTAATCGGAAAATCTACAGATTATCAGACTATTTTAATTATCGTACATATGATCCGTAGTAATTTTGTGGTAAATTTATCTTATCATGTATGCTGCAGTGGTAGAGCGGAGTAACAGAGGTTGGCAAGACTACTTTTGGGCCATTTACAAAAGAGCGTTTTACGGGTCCCTAGCAAAAAAGGTTTCTCCTCGTGCTAGCCAAAGGGGTTTCTCAGGAGAAGCTATCGCTTACCGCAATCTCTATGCATGAGAAGAAGGATTTCTAGCCAGTAGGAGCCTCCAATTCACACTGTGCCGCACACCACCCTACCCCACCCCACTCTGCCACCCCAACATGTATGCCACCAGACTCACTACGGTTGTAAGAAATACGACGTTTGGTTGTGTAAAAGAAGGCCTTGTTTCCATATTTTTAATCAAATATAATGCATTTTGGCACCAAAAAAACATGAAGTCATCGTCTTATTGGATCGCTTACCACTCTTGGTCTACGCAGAGGCTTGCGGAGCGTCTGGCAGTAGTTGAAGGGATGAAACCTTAGGATTGTTTGGCTACGCTAATGCTGGAACTCCGAACCCCAGGATTTCTAATGAAGCTCCAAGCTTCCACCGGACTGGGCCGACCCCAAACTGGTTCACAGACTTAGCTGACCAATGCATCCTTTTCTTGCGATGAGCTGCATCTTGATCATTCATAAGCATATATCCATGGCTTGAATCAATTTAATCGCTTATTAAGCTTGGCGGAGTTATGTATCTACACACAGTAGATGAGATTTCAGAATGACACACAGGTTTTATATAAAGCGAACCGAGTACCACCTTGAATGTAGACCACCCAGCAGTTCCAAACATCAAAGGTTTCCCCAAACTAACTCAACTTGACCGAAAAACATCAACTATGACGGCCACAATTGGAATTGCTGGAATCACCTCCAAGTTCGCTCGTCTCCTCACAGTGCGTCTTCTCCAGAATCCTTCCGTTCAGATTCATGGCTACAGTCGCGACCTCAGCAAGCTTCCACTTTCCATCACATCTTCCTCTCGCATCCAACTCATTCAAGGAGATGCGTTCGAAATTTCCAAAATACATTCTTTCGTCAAATCCTGCAATGTAGTGATATGCTGCTACAGAAGCGATTACTATCTGGGAGACGACAATCTCATGCTCGATGGCCAAAAGAATCTAATCGATGCCTGCGAATCCGAAGGAGTGCCAAGATACATTGCAAGCGATTGGACATTCGATTACACAAAAATAGGACTAGGTGAAATCCCACTCAAGGATGCTATGATACTCGTGAAGAGCTATCTTGAAACCAAGGATCATGTCAAAGGTGTTCATATTTTGACCGGCCCTTTTATAGAAGCCATGCTCCATCCAATTTTAGGAATTTGGGACTCGGCTGCTGTAAAGTTTCGATATTGGGGAAATGGGGATGAAGTACTCGAAGGGACGATTTATGAGGATGCGGCCGCCTTTACAGCAGCAATTGCAATCGATGAAAGTGCTGTCGGGGTGAAAAGAGGTTTGTCCTATGTCGTCGTACAACCATTTACAAGCTAACTGGGAATAGTTCTTGGTGGAGCTTCAAGTATTACTCAAATTGCTGCTTCTTACGAGAAGGTGTACGGCATCAAGCCAGCGCTTGAATCTCGCGGGTCGTTGGAAACTTTACGTCAGCGCGTGCAAGAACTGGCTGCAGAGACACCACAAAATCCGGCCGTATATACCCCACTGTATGTTTTCCTGAACCTTACCTTTGCCGGGGATACTAATTTCATACAGGCTTTATCAATATTACATCATGAGCGGGAAAACATCGGTGGGCCCTGGTTTGGACAATACTACATATCCAACGGTCAAGGCACAGAATTGGGAGAACTTCTTGAGACTTCACCCTAAGGAGTACCTAGACAGGTCTTATGAATCTGCCACTGAAGCAGTTTGAGGAGGGCCCTGTGATCCTTTAGGCAAAAGGTACTGTAAGTGAATTGGCAAAGCGCTAGCGAGAAGGAAATCAGCGCGCCAATTTATGATATATTAAGTTATACTATTCTTCTTCAATTTCACATAAAATGAGCGATCGCCTAGGGATACTGTACATGGCTTCATACTCCCAAATGCTTAAAGTGTGATTCGCCCCGCTATGTAAGATTTACACATGCGATCGAATTCGCACATAAAACTCCTTTTAAATAGACTCAATGTCCCTCTTGATCTATTTGCACAAAAGCCTTCTTGTACCAGTCTGGTTTGAATAGCCATGGCTTTAGTGTAGAGTACGTAAAACATATGCATCTTGTCTATGACTCAACCCAATAACGTGACCCAACAAACAACAACACCCTGCCAGTTTCTATGGCTTCCCACCTTCCAAATTCTAGCCCAAAATCAACGAGCAAGATCAGTCAAACCACTTTAAGTTAACAACTCCCGTCTGGCACTTTCTTCACTTTTTTTAATCTTTGAGGTCGTGCACCCTGGTTAGGCTTCCAAATATGTCTACATCTGCCAACTTTTACACACACGATACAGACATCTACAATGACATATCGCCCCATTTCAGTATCAGATCTCTCAAAAAGCCACTCAAACTCCGTAAAGTGGCTTCAGATGATGCCGAAGCTCTCCTCAAACATTCCAGTGACCAGCGAAACGTTCAATACGACGGCTCAGTTATCGGGTTGGATAACCCAGAAGCAATTAGTTCTCTGTTGGCACAATGGTCCACCTTCACTGAACCTCTTGCACGATTCAATGCTGTTGTTGTCACTGACAATAAAATATCTGGTACTGGTGGGATTGGCTGGATCGGCACGAACTCAGAAGGAGTCAGGGTTGGAGCTGCAGGAATTATGCTAAACTCTGAGGAACGAGGAAAAGGATATGCGTATGAGGCGCTCAAAATTACCATTGATTTTGGGCTTCGTGAACTCGCCTTGGACGAGATCCACTTAGCTACCTGGGACGCAAACATTCCGATGAGAGGATTGATGGATAAGAAGTTTGGCTTCATGGGGAGGAGAATCGAGAAAGATAGGTTTGGAAACGAGTGGGAGTGGAGGATTAGAAAGACTGAGTGGCTGGAGAGTGTGCATTCTGTATAAAAAATGGGACTTTGACTTTTGGACTTCGGGAAGGCAGGGAAATGGCTAAGATTGCTAGACTTCTCTAGTTAGCCTGCCGGTATCGCAGTGGTGTGCAAAAATCGATCATGGTCCCCCTCCTACTACTACTTTCGCGACCTGCTCGGTAACATGCCTTGAGTCTTTGGGGGGCTTGCCTGGTGGTTTGGCTTTCTTGTTAGTCTCTACCCGCTATAACCTCTTTATCTTGTGTATTTCCTTCATTTCTAGAGCTACTCTAGAGACTTTCAGAGTTACTCTATTGATCTCAGCAGTATTGTACAGTACATCTATCTGAATACAACTTTCTTATAGCTTTGTAGTGTATCAATTGGATGAAGCTAAAGAATCAATTGCTATTTTGTCAGCTTAATATTTTACAAATAGTGTTGATGTTTCAAATATACAGTAATAAATATATCAAAGCGAGAAGATAAATGAACATTTTGTAAAGGATTTTGCTTAACAATATCTACATATTATTGCTGCGCGGAAGTTTCTTGAGTAATAAAAGCTAACAGCCATTATTGGACATAGAGTTTTCAATCATTTGTTTAAACAATATCTCCTGGATACTATTATCGCCATTAACTTCATTGCCAAGTCAAAATACACACTTCTCTCCTCAACCCAACTGGTGCAACAAAACAGCGACGCCAACAGGCTAAACCTCTGCACCCAAACAAAAACAACACCTTTACTGTATTTCCCAAAGTAGCACAACCACCATTGCCTTTGGGCAAAAGTTGATGAGTCGTACACGTCGTGTTTGCACATTCCAGACTTATCGTGGGAAACAGGGGATTTTATGAGCCAATGCAGGTTGGGGTACTTGAAACACAGTATGCCTGGCGGCACTCTGCACTTACTAACTTCCAGGAGTGGGATCTGGGGGAATATTTTTTGGGAGTCTTTTTGAGATTTTTTTTGGGAGGGGGAGGGAGAGGGAAGGGGTTGAAAATAAGAAGTAGATCCATTGACATGAAATTACGTGTAGAGACGCCAAATCAATTCTATTGAATAACAAGTGAATAAATTATACCATATTCTACAAGCTTCATATCTCATCTTTCTCTTTATCTCCGTCTGTTTCTCCGTCTTCATCCTCATCACCATTGGGGACCCACTCTAGTAAGAGATCACGCACAAGTCGCGTATCTTCCTGTAAGACCTCGCTCTCCGTCGGCTCCAATCTGAACGATCTACTATCAAATGACGCAGGATACGGTAACATTGAACGCCGTTTCAGTGGCGCAGATTTCCTGCTGTCCTTTCGAACTGGTTCTAGACCTGGCAATGCCTGCCTTCTAAAGAATGTTCGCGAAGATTGCGAGGGTTCGTATTCACTTACAGAATAAGCGTTCGAAGGAGGGTATTTTGGCGTTCTTAGTTGTGCTGGGGATTTTTTCTGAGTGTGTTGAGGGGTTCTCCGATCTTGTTCTTGCGTGCTTTCGCTATTCCTTCTTGATGGTGGTACTGCTGGTCGTTTGTTTTTCTTATCTTCTGTGTCGTCAGCAAAGTGCGCTCTTTTTTCTGTTATTTCAGGAGCAGTGGGCGGCGATGGTGCTCTAGTCATTGGTACTCTGTGTGGCTGTGTTGTGGGTGGTACTATGGGGGGTGGCATTGCCCAGTTGGCGGCTGGGGCAGGTGGGTGGAATGAAGAGTAATATTGGACTTGTGGGTCCTGGAAGTAGAGACTCCTATTTCTGCTATCAAATGGATTAGGAAAATGAGGGCCTGTTGGAAGGCTGTTTATGTTTCGAATGGGTATTTCAGGATTATGGCGATAAGGATTATATGTGCTTGCTTCTGTTCGTCGTTTCTTGGGCTGGTAGCTAGAAAGGCTAGAAGATAGAGTCGACCATTCACTTGATACGCTTGCCGAACTCTCAGTGATGCTCTTTCCTCTTAGATCAGGCGTCCTCCTTCTCTCGGGTGCTTTTCTAGCGGTGCCCGGCTTCATGGTATTCCATGGCATAACGGGAGTCAATTCTGGAGGGTCACTAGTTGTGTTGGCTGAATTGTCTGCTATCCTGGCTGATAGTATTATTGGCGGAGTATCGTTTCGAGGGACTTCAGCTGGGCCAGCATAAACATTAGTATTAACTGGCAACAAGGTCTTTGAGGTGGCTGGTTTCGGGGACGCTTTTTCGAGCCGAGGTGCCTCGAATAACTCTGGCGTTATAAATGTCTCTACTCCAAGTGGTCTTTTTCTGAAGTAAACAGTCACTGATCGTAGCCCAGTAGCTTGACCATCAATTCTTTCGAGTTGGGCAACATTCCAGATAAACCCTGGCTCGCACTCATCCTTGTTCATGTCTCGAACAATCTTCGCAATCTCTGTTTGTTGAGTTTTAAGCAGCTTTAGTTTCTTTTCTATTACGTGCGGACCATCCATTTTCAGCTCTGTTATTCTTTGAAGAATGTCAGCCTCTGAAAATCCTTCCCTGTCCGCTGTTGGCGGTACTGAAGAGCAATCCCCGTATTCATTCTGCGGTTCAAGTACGCGAATTGTGAATGCTGCATATATGACAAAGATTTCAATATTTTCGTCCCTCATGGGTGAGTTACGCATTTCCTTCATTGTTCTTAGTATAGATGACTTCTCCAGTTTTGGTGATGTGACAGCTTCTTCGGAATCTTCGTCGTCTTCTAACCTATCTTGCGGCGACTTCTGCACGCCTGGTTTTTGGTTTTGTATTATGGCAACAAGCGCTCGATTTTCATTCGACCAGAATTTCAGTTTTTCTTTTCGCAGTCGTTTCAAGTGTACTAAAGATGTCCTTAGTTGCACATTCTCTTCACTAGATGTTATTGCTGACAGTGCCGACATCTCATCAGTCGTTAAAAAGGCAAATCTCCTCCACGAAATTGGTCCGGATGACTGTGACTTTTCTAGGTCTCGTTGTCGCGACGAGAAGTGTCCTGGACAAGGTATCTTATGGTAGTCTTTCCCGCGAATAACAAAGGCTGTGAGGAATGATCCTCGTCCGAAAAGTTCTTCCATATCAGACTGTGTCACAAAGTCACGCGGTGTTTTGATCCTCCAAAGGCCTCTAAGCCTCGTTTGCTCTCTCCCAGGTGTCGATAATGAGGAAATGATGCTACTTGTCTCGGCTTCAATATCGATACTTGACGTGTCTTTGGTTTCTTCAAACTTTTCGTCTGTTCTCTGCATGGGAGTCGAGTCCTGAGGCGCATCAATATCGTCTTCAGGGACGAGGAACCGAAAAACGTCTATTTTCTGGTCTCGCTCATGCGGAGTTTCTTGGTTATTTAGAACAGAGGTAGAGTAAGTTGTACATCTTTCGGAGAGTCCTTTTGGCGAGTCCATGCCGCTTAGCGTGACATGGATCTGCGGTGTTAAAGACTCTGGAACCGTAGGCGAAGAGAGTCCACCAGATTGATTGACAGTCCCCCCCATTTGTTGATCAATTGCGCTGGGATCCTGTTCCTGTTCCTCTCTCTCAGACTCTGAAATTTTATTCGTCGTTCCAACCGAATCCGAATTCTCGGTCCAAGCATTGTCCTGTGCAAGCGTGGCCATCGGTGGCACATTTCGTATCTCTGCTAGTCTATTTTCTTCCTTGTGCTGAGTGCCCATCTCTCTCGCATCTTGGGAAGGGCCTTCAACTTTGGAGACCAATTGGTCATCTTTTCGCTCTTGTGGTGTTTGGTCTAAAGATGATCGTATCGGCTTTTTGGAGAATCCCGTGTCTATAATCGGCGTTGGTGTCTTCGGAGATTCTGATACTGATTGGTTTGAAGGTGCTTTGGGAGACATCCCCATTTTTCTTGCTGTCATACTTTGAAGGGTTAAATTGGGTGAAGGCATTCCGCGTCCTCGTGTTTGCGGAGATGATGGGATATGGATAGCTATCTTGGGCTGGCTTTTCTCATTCACGGGCGATTGCCTAGGCTGATCTTCAGACTGTTGTAGAGTTTCAGTATGGTCTATGATTGAACCTTGTTTTGAAGAAACGACATGCCGTGGTTTAATTCTTTGGTCGCTAGGTCTTGGGGGTGTATAATCCGTGGGCTCTTTTACCGCTAACTTTGCTTCTCCTTGCTCAGCTACCTTCACTGCATTTTCCCAATTAATGGTCTCTTTATTCCCTTCCACATCCTCCTGTAAGCTGTACTCAGCGATAGACGTAGACTTGGAACGAATGGGATCCAAACTCTCGTCGTCATCTATCCAGGCACCGGGCACATGTTGAAGGGAGACCTCGCTTTTCTTCTGTGATAACTCTTCAGTCCAGGTTAGATCCACTTCTAGGTGCTCTACAATAGTCGAATTCAAGCTGCTGGAAGATGTCTTCGGGGGAATGGCAACTTCTACACCTAGTGGAATACTAGTACGTGGAGTAACGGGGCCTCCTGGATTCTCCTTTCTCTTATTCTCAAGCTGCGCGGACTCATTCCTTCGAGATTTGTACTCTGTTCTCAAAGAAAAGGCTGTCACATCCATATCTTTGGGTGAGAAGATCAATTCAGTGAGCGAATGGTTATTGTTAAGAGTGTCCTCCTCTCCATTGGAAGTGTTCGAGACCTGTAAGTTGGCTACATTTGTCAGAAGAGCCTGTTCCAATACTGGGATCGGCTCATCAAGGAGTGCAGCCTCCATTTCAGGAGTCAGTTTTCCAAGGTCGTCCGCCGGCGGGATCAAGAGTGATGATTTCGACGTGAGATTAGGCAGCACTTCCATCGACGGAGATTTTGGTTTTGGCTGGTATATCTTCTCGAAGTTTCGCAGAGCTTCATCCACATCCGAAATCTCCTCTTGAAACTCGTCGGGAAGCTGCTCAGTCTACTACCAATCAGTATCTGTAGTACCTGTAATGATCAGAGAACACCTACAACAGACGGCTTTTGGTATTTAGCTGGGACTTTTTCCAAACGAGTTCTGATTCGTGAAAATGGGCTGTCCTGTTTCTGTCGCTCAACAATAGGCGAACCAACAACCGAATCGTGCTGAGGCCGCATAGAATGAAGCTCGTCGTCGTCCATACGAGTAGGTGATTGTGAGAATGGTATTTCAGGATAACTTTTACTGCTGTCCGCCAGCTGTGAATCCAGTTCGGTGACCCTTTTTCCCTTCCGAGCCCTTTTTAGGTCCTTCTGGAGTTCGCCTTCCATATGCCTTTGAGCCACTTCCCCTTTCACCTCGTAGTCGGCATGCGCTTCAATACTTTCGGCTGAAGACCGCTCTTGTATTTTCAATTCGTCTCGTCTTCTTGGAGAAGCACTTGCAGCGTTAAATTGCTTGTCGATAGTTCGATTAATATATGTTCCGCGCTTCTCCGTGCGTCCTCTCTGTAGATCATTCTCGGTAGAACTAGCCCGACGTCTCAGTGGACGGAAATCTTGAGAGTTCGGAATTTTGTGTCTGTGTCTGCGTTCTTCTTCCTTGCCAAAATTATCCCGGTGCGGCTTGGTTCTTCTACTTTCATCACTACGTCTATGTGAGTCATATGTTTTGTAAGGTGGAGGCATCGTATCGGCAAAGTCATCGTCATCGTCGCTAAGCATATCCTTCGCCTGTCGCCGCTTCTCAGCGGTAAGTTTTATTATCTCACGCGTGCTCAACACATCATAGCTGTTCACTGGTGTTTTCCTGATAGTTTTAGTACGAAGTTGGATATTGTAGGCTCTCAAGACTCACGGAGCTCTCAAATACATTCCTAGCTGCACAACATGAAGCAGCAAGCTCAAAGACTGTTGCAGGAAATTAAGCTGGTCCCGATACCTGGTAAGTTGTTTTCCAGTACTGAAAGTATACACAAATCTCTGTACGCGATTCATGTTCCGCCGTTTAGCTAAACGTATTATGTTCCGATCCGCTAAACCCTTCTCTTCACCTTTTTGTACTTTGTCGTGGAATTCTTGAAGTTGTTCCTTGAGTCTTTTCTCGAGGTCTTTTGGAGTTTCCTTGGCATACAATATAGCTGCCTCGATTCTCCAAAATACCTTGAGGCATGCGTCGGTGTTCTTCCGGACTTCAACCAACGCCTTGTCGTTAAATAGTTCTGGCTTCCCAGATTTGCTAGTACGATTCTCTTTCTCCAGTTTGAGCAATTCTTCAATTTGGTCGAGAACTGCGATCGTTCGTTCTAGACCATAACAGACATCATGGAGATTTTCGTTTGCTCGCTCGTATTGGCCCAAAAAGTCATTCACGAACTGTGAGAGCTGAAGACCAAATGCTGCGATCCCAACTACTGATCCAACGGCTCCTAGAATGGTCACGGGGTCCATAGTTGTCACATTTGTTGCTCTGGGTCATCGAAACCTGCTAATATTAGGGATTCAATTACAATTGATGAGAAGAGCTGAAGAATAGTTCAACGAGGATCCAAGGTGACAATGTGTTGGGAGGCTGATAAATGGGCCTCTTCACCAGCAGCCACCCCCGGACGTACACAGTAAAGGAGAAAAGCGGCATCCAATGTATCGCCGGCGCGGGTCTTTGTATGATCACCATTACCGCTTCGAATCACAGTCGCAAAGCCGAGAGCCAAGCAATAAGTTGGTTTAAAGAGACTTGTGGTATATAGCCCATGGATAATCATGTCTTAAACATAAGTGTGGATCCGTTCTATTCAAACAAATCGATAAGAAAACATTCGTTGCCGCTTTTTGTGCCTACTGCAACCTGCTGCATGCAAGTAGACAATTAGTACAAGTCTCCGTATGCAGTGCCATGGATTCAATGCTACAGTAAGCAGCCACACTCATGTCACGTTTATGTACAGTACAGTACACAGAGGTGTGGGAAGGATGTGGCTAAGGGCTATGTTAGCCAATCATGTCGCATTTTGTGTTACGTATCCTCAGCAAAACAAGAGGTGGCATATTCTCTTGACTGATTATGCCATTAATCTACCTTGTCTAAGTACCTAGCCCGTTAATTCCTTGTTCTTTTTCAGTTTTTCTTCAGAAATAACACTTAACAAATAGCATTCCTAAGTTGAAGTGAAACAATAGGATGACTTTAAACATGTCAAGATATCCGATGCAAATCAATGAACATAGTTATAAACAGATGGAGTGATGGCAAAGGGTCATACGGAAGTGTTGTGTTAGTTCATTCTACAATTTCCAGGTAAAGTATAATGGGGGCAACTTTAGGGAAGTGTATTTACCAGATAAGATAGTTATTAGTTACAAATGATTTCTCTGATTTCATATCAAAGTTTCTCAGAGACCTATATAAATAGAGGTAGTTAGTCCTAGGGTGATATAGAGTGAAATTCAAGTTTGTAATCATGTGTGCTCTCAAACAACACCTTGGCGTTCACGCAGTAATGGGGATACAGGACTTGGGTAAAGTTGGAACATAGAATATGTAGAAGTAATGGTCTGCATAGAGACTGACCAGAATCAAATCTATTAAGAATCTAACGTGTAAATTCCTCACTTTATCTCCTTGATATTGACACACAACCAATTTTTGAGCTCTGGGGTGGAACAATGATCAGGCATGCGCCATGTATGCTACCAAAACTTTCACTTCATAGCTGCTCTTTACACCCCCCCTGAAGGAGTTCAAGCTCACCCGCAACTAGTTTATGGCGCCATGTATGTTACCAAAGTATTATTCACTTCATAAATTCTCATTGGACACTGCAGGAGTTTAAATTCACCCACAACTAGTTTATGAAGCCATGCTCCTGTCTTTCCTATATAAATCAGCCTTCCATGTCCAAAGGTAATCACACACTTGTGTTCCCACTTCACTCAATACTATGGACCAAAGCTCCCTCCAACCTTCATCTAAAACCTCTCAACATCAAAATTGCGCTTCGCCTTCAAAAGAATCAAGTCAGAGTAACCAAAAGAACAAAAAGGCTACCAATTCTCCTGGCTTCTCATCTCGGGCAGGATGCACCCCATCTCCAATCAAAAATACCTCTAGCAACACGCCTTCAACTTCAAATCGCAGAAGGAAATCGCTCGTTCCAGCACGCCAAGTTTATATACCCATAAATGATTCCACCGACCACTGGACAGATAGTGAAGACGAGTATGACCGCAACGGCCGACCACGCAAAGCAAGAGTTACCGTGAAAGGCTATCAAGCTTATCTCGAGAAGCGAAAGAACAAAGAACAACAGTATGACATTCCACGGCCAACCCGCAAAGTGGAGAAGCTGTTCGAGAATTACCAAGGTCAGACTGGGCCACCTACGGACAATTCGACGAAGGGATTCTGGGTTCCGAAAAAGGAAGAACGAGGTCAATTACTGGATGGAGAAACAGGAGGAAAAAATGCAACTGTGGATCGGAGTTTGCTTGAAGGTGAACTTCTACTACCTGGCCATCCAGAGTTTCCGGAATACGGTGGTATTGACGCAAGCAATTGAAGCAACCGGCACTGAATCGAAGACGCAGCAACCTCAAAAGCGAAATAGCGGCTCCTTCGGACGAAGTATGATCTACAAAACATCGTTTCCGCCCCCAGGACTCCTGGAAGAAGTCGATGATAGCTATATAACGCCCGAAGGCCAATAATCTGAGCTTGTATCTAGCTACATACTTCTCAAAATAATTACAGCTTTTCTGCCTTGTATCACGTTCTGCAATTTAACTTCATTGTCCAGGATGTCAAGTGGCCCTGATAGAGAGACGACAAAACTGATTCTTTCTTTCGCAGCAGTAGTCTGGGGGTGCTAAGCAGTTTTGACTTAGACCTCTGGAAGACTTTCTAAGTAAAGTCTTGATCGCGTGATATCCTCTTCTCTTGAGCCAGTCGCAGAGTATCAAGAAAAGCTTCTATAAATGAGGGGAGGTCTTAGCTTTAGCATTCATACCACATGGAATCGGGAATCCAGTTTATTTTCATGATGGGGGCTATGGACTATATGCATGAGCGAAAATATAGCACTCCATTCTGCTACAACCAAAATCGCTCAAAACTAGCTTACGAAGTACCAATAACGTAGGCGCGCTTACTGATATTTTCTGTCAATTGCCGTGTCTGAAATAAATTATCAGTGTTTCATGGTGTCTAGAAGAAGTAAAAAATAACAAAGGAAAGGCTGAAGCCAAAGATCCAACCCAAATCTACTATGCTTGCGCTCTAGTCGCTTCTTCCAAAGCTTCTGCAGCTATTTCTCTATTCGCACTTGCCTCCTCCCAAACCGTGCACAGAACTCTCAAATCATTCTCTTGAACAGCTGGAACCTCCTCGCCTCTCACGAGATTGAGGTCATTCTCAATTTCAGCTGAGCAATTGTTGACGGCTTGCTGGAGTTTTGTGGTGACATCGCCAAGCAGAGCTTCAAGTGCGGCGAGGAACAAACGTGTGATCACTTTGAAAAGCTTTGGGTCGCCCGAAATCTGCCTCTTCAAACGCTCGGTACGTCTTTTGGTTACTCCATTTCCGGAATCTATTTCATTATACATGGGTTGCATCCGCTGCATCACAAAGGATGACGAGTGGCTCTTCAAGAGGTCATGAGATATTGTTCTAGTGAAACTTCCTTTAGCTTTTGTGACTTGGTAATGGTAAAAGGACTTTTGAGACGTACTGAAGTTGCTTCAAGTATGATGTTGTGATGGCCTCAATTTCATATTCCAGAGTTTGATGCCTTCGGGGAAAGGTGAGAATGAAATCATCTATACGTTGCAGTTCTAATTCTGTTAATCATAACTTGCAAATAAGGATGGGTTATGAACGACGTACGAGCTAGCTTCGGTCGTATGAGAGTTAGCCCACTATGAGTTGAACGCTTGAAGGTATCAAGAATCTTTTGACTTTCGTCCAGGAACTCTTTTTCTGATGGTTGTATATCCTCTACCATCGCTCTTATGATGATTTCATTCCAGTCTGTATATGGCCGACTGTTTGTGAAATGGGCTCCGTCATTGTTCCAAAAATCCAGGAATGTCGCTATAAACTGTTAGAACTATATATTAGGATGAATATAATGTCACGAATAGATACCAGGATGCCACTATCATGTTGATCAGCAATGCCTTGGGCGATTTATATTTGGCGACTTACTTGGCGTGGTATACTCTCAAACATTGTTTGGACCGTAGAAAGCGCAGCTGTGCCCCATCTATTTGTTCCTTGGGCTAGGACTTGATTAGTTGAGCAGAAGACTTCATTATAAAGGGGTTCAGACTGAGTGGTCGGACGAGCATTTGATGTTTTGCTTGGGTCAACTGGTCGTGGCTCACTCTAACGGAGGTATCAAAGATCTGGATGTAATCAGCACCTCTCTGGACCCAAAAATGAATAATACTCACCCCTCGAAGTTCTGTTTGTATTTCATTGATTCGTCCTGAGGCTCCAGGCTCGATTGCTTCTTCCCCGGCGACTCTTGCATTGAGCCACAGTCCAATTTGCTGGATCAAAGTTAATACTCGGGCATTTAGGTAGTGCTTAGTTTCTTCGGTTTGAGAGTTGGAAGGAATTCTACTGATAAATTCGTATACAGCAGGGATGCCGGAGCTGTCTAGCTTTTGTTTTGCTGCTGAAGTTCTCGCGCCGATATTCGAAAGCCGTTGGTTGCGTCGCTGAGCTCGTTCGGTACGTTCTTGCAAATCAATTCCCCTCTGATAAAGAGTGTTAGAAACACAGAAGATACTAATCTTTCGCTGTAATTTTTGAGACCGGTAACGAGCCCGAAAGGATTCTTCGACATGTTTGTTTCGACAGGACATGAGAAGGTGGTTCAATCTGGAAACTTGTTAGGAAAATCGTGAAGTGGGAATGGTGCTGTGATACTCGGCCTTGTGCTTATCGCTTGTTGCAGCAATGTCATCCTCATCTGCTCCTCTTATTTTTTCACGAAGGGTATTGATTTCCCTGGTAAAAGCTGCTGAATGTGGTACAACATTCAGTATCTCCGTTGTTCGCACCAAGTCCTACAACCTTTAGCATTTTCGGCGAAATAGAAAGAGAGAAATAAGTCACAGTCCACTTCTGCTTTAGTGCAAATTATCGCTGCCCCCTGTCTTCTTTGGAGGCTGTTAAAGTCCCTTCCTAGTTGTCTAAGCAAGATATTTTGAACATCTTGATTTGTTATTGCGCGGTCCAGTTCCGTGACCAGAAAGATTTCATCACAATGTTTCAATCTCATCTCAGCAATTCTCATTCTTGCGGTATTTACGTCACGAAACCCTGATTAGCTTATTAGTATTCACGTGCGTTAGATGGATTCAGAGATCTTACAAGGAAGATCGACAAGTACAATGCCGTTTTCTAATACAGACCCTTTGCAATAAACCCTGAGTATGAAGTCAGCTAAATTCCTGAAGTAGAGATACTTCTTGTATAATTTCTGTGAGGAGCATGTCTATGAGATGCGGGACTTTGGCAAGTGTAATTTGTGAAGTGACTGCGTCTTTGCCTCTTGAGCAAGTGATCGAATCATTTTTCTGATTAATGACGAATAATTGTGAGAAACTGCGTACCGTATCACTTTAATAAAGGGCCATATCCAGCTGACCAGGAACTCATCTCTCCATCTGGTACAATCCTCTTCGTTATCTGAAGTATGAACAACCGTGTTTTCGTTAAACCCCCGTGGCCACTGTCTTTCTCCTCTCCAATCTAAAACAGTTCTTATCAGGTCATCAGTATTGCGCTCTCGATCCTGAAAGAATGATTCCCGGCATTCTTCCAGGTTTTCAAATGCGCCACTCAGTATACCCCATGCCGTGTCCGCCTTTTTCTTTAATCTTTCCATTTCGCTTGAGTCTGGTCTTTCGTCGGCGGTGTCCAATAGATGATATCGGACGTAGTCCAGGACACTTTGTCGTAGCAGATCTTCCATCTCCAGATTTCCCATACATTCCACCTCAAAGGTGAAATTGGATGTGTCGCTTTCCCTTTTGTTTCAATACTCTGTCACTTACAGTTTTCGCAAGGTTCTTCGACCCTAAAAGGCAATTGATCAAGCTACTTTTCCCTTAAAGAGCATGAGTGAGTGTGTGCATCTCGATATTCGACATTTCACTCACCGACACCTGAATCGCCAATCAAACCTATTGTGAATTCAACAGGAGACTGGTAATGACGAAGTTCTTCAGCGAGTTTCAAAATACGCTGAAGATTAGGCCTATCATGGTCTGCTAAAGTCCGCTGGAGAGCATCGGCCAAGACCCCGCTGATTTCCTTCCCCTGTTCTATTGCATCTTTGATGTGTTGCTCCATTCTTCAGGAGGCTGTACGATCAAAAGACACGATTCCCCAACTATAGCTGTGTTTCGCGATAGTTTTCTGGATAAGAGGAGTTCTGGGCAAGTGAATAGAAAGCAGTATAATAACAAGATATTATTTAGACAAAGATAAGGACCAAAAGAAAAGAAATGAGGGGAGTGTTATTTATTGCAGAAATTGAGACTGCGATGAAGGCTGTGCCATCAACGTTTGCTTCCGCAGCAGTCTCAAACCCCAGTATCCTCCCTCTTGGTTGACCAAATTTTGACCAAATGTTGACCAATGATGGAATACATCCAACATCTTCAACCGAATAAGGGTCCAACCCGACCGGCGACCGGGGTTGTACATACTTGCTTCAAGTAGGCAGCAGGCTTCGGACTAGTCTGCTACGCCGCTGTATCCATTGATGCGTGTGCTGAAGTTTCAAAACAAAAATCCCTGATTGATGTAGTGTAGGTAGGTAAGCCCCTTTTGTACCTCTGTAACTCGGTCGCAGGCACGACAGGTTCGCGCCGCATCGGCACCCGCTTAGATGGACGCATGGGCGCCAAATTCACTTTCACCAGCTTCAACCATTGCAGACCCTTGCCCACGATGTAGTTGGATTGCCGGTTGTACTTCGATATATCATTTTGCTACTACTGATGCGTGGAAAGAACCCGATCTACACAGTAGAAGTCACGTGTTAGTCACGTTCAAGTAATTCATAGGTAAACATTCCAAAATAATGAAGTAATCGTTTCCAGACTCTGGAACTTTCCAGTTCAGACCAAAAACATATAAATATCTTGATCTGTGTTATCCGACTATGATTTGGATGGTCATTGTTTCAATCCTAGAAATATAGAACATCCCGGGGACCATATACCGCCGCAATCAATGCTCACTCCTAGGTGCATTTTGGAAACAGAAACATCCAAAAGACTGGCATTCCCGCTACGAATGGTATGAGCCTAAGTTGACTAATCAACTGATCTATTAAAACCGGCAATAACCTGAGCCACTAAACTTTCCATAGATTCAGACTAACAACTTAGCTCATCGCACGCTGAGGAAATATATTCCGGGGTGACTTCAGCTCGCAATCGTCGTACAAACCAAGACATTGTTCTCTTCATTCAATCATCTATCTAAGGATATCAAACTTTTACCATGGTCCCCAAGATCCTTCCTCTTGACAAGGAAGAGCAAGCACGCATCAGAAGAGAAGAGCGAGCCAAAAACTCCATTATCGTGCGCCAGCGAGGTGAGAAACTCCTTATTCCAGAGCAGATTAACTATCACCCTCCGATTACTAACAGACACAGCATTCGAGATCTACAAAAATGACACGCCGCGATGCTCATACGAAGAATTCCGCGAGCTGGAAATAAACAATCGCCTGATGGCGAATATTTATCTCGGCATAGCTCTGGATACATGGAGGGTGCGATACAACAAATTCGTCAATTTCCCACTTAGAAAGCGAGGTAAGAACCTTTCCCGGGGTTTTACTATGGCATAGCTGATGTATATAGCTTTCGAAAACTACAAGAGGGATAACCCAGATACGCGGTTTCAGGGCATGTCGGACTTGATGAATATCGACCACCCGCTCACGGATACCTATTTTGATCATGCTGCACGAGAGCTGGAGGCCGAGGAGGAGGAGAGAAAGGAAGATAGGAGACAGGAGTTGAGGGAGAAGAAGGGATGGTTGCAGAGGACTTGGTTTCGATTGGTACATTGAGTAATAATAAGAGAACCAGACCAGACCAGGTTTTCTAGAACAATAAGTTTGGCGAATCGAAGATTCGAGATATAAAAAAATCGCGAGGGAGGTTCTTTTTCCTGCCAATTTTACGAGTACACTGTACACTCTCCCGTTAAGCGAATATGTCACAACACTTCGATTTTGCTGTATTCTACCTCATTAAATGCAAATAAATAATCCTGAATAGCGCAAGAATAAATCACAGGTTTAACACCTATTTTTATCCTATTCCAGCCTCTCAGGGCACCTGCAGCCCTCTAAGTCCATCGCACGTGACCTCGCCGGCAGTCCCCGAAAACCCCATCACGAAAATAACCCGGTCACCCATCGTCATCCTCACAGGCAAACTCAAAATAATCACCCCATCCCAACCGTCCATCAGCCCACAGCACCGCCGCACGCCCAGCTCGTCGGTACAAGTGCATGCCACGTTTTGCTGACAGCCTCAAATAAATCGTATTCCCATTGGTCGCTCGAGTGAGCTGCATCGCACGATACCGAGGTGGTTTCGTACGATGGGAGGTGGTTGTGGCATGTTGTTCGTTCATCTGGGTGAGAAATCAGGTTGGATTTTTTCTGAAGGGGGTGAGAATTTGAGGTGATGGAGGGAGTATATATATTCTTTGCTTGCTTGTGTTACTTTGCTTTTTACTTTTGTATCATTGGCAATAACATCTCTACTCCAAATCTCATCTCTACATCAAATCTCATCTCTACTACACTCTCATACACAACATCTCTTCTCCCTCAACCGAGTCATACATCCACTCCTCTCAAATCAAATCCCAAATTCAATCATGAACGCCCGAACCATCATCCCTCGCATGGCCCGCTTCACAGCTCCCACAATCAAGCCAACCCAAAGACGTTCTCTTTCCGTCGTCCAGCGCGCTCGTCAAACCATCAGATCGTTTGAGCCGCATCCATTCGAGAGATACCCTGTCACACAAGAAGGCGCAAAGGCAGATTGGGTCCGGGCATTTGGAAGATTACGAGGCCCTGCTGCGGTGTATGTTCTACTCTTCCCCACATTCTCAAATGAAATAGCTAATGGTTCTTTTTTCTAGCTACTTCCCAGGGTTTGCATTCGTCCTTGGCTGGCCCTTTCTCGCAGCGTCGGTTGTTGATGGACATTTATGATCTATCATGGCTGACTGAACAATTTGGCTTTTCTCTTCCAAAATTTGTATATATTTGAGATCTTTCTTGTTTCTTTTGTCAGGCAATGCGGCATTGGTGTGGAGTTTCGGGGGATACACGAACAGTATTACTTTAGATTGTAGACTCCACATAGAGCTCCTATCAACAAAGTCACAAATTACCCAAAAGTTTCAGATCACTCATACTGCAAACTGATCCTAATCCTATACTGCACCCACCACCAAGCCAAAAATCCAATCATCACCATCCCCCCAAACCTCCCAACTTTCTTCAACACATTCAACAGTCCCTTTCTCACAACTCCATCAATCTTCACCTTCATAGCCTCCTTCTCATTAACACGTGGAAACATCACTTCCTCCCCCCTCACATCCCTCGGTACGTCAACACCCAGAAAAGAACATATCGGCTCCCATCCCGAACCAAGTTTATACTCCAGTAACCTCTCCCTCGGCGTAATCCTCCTCACAAGCTCATAATGCTCCCTATAACACCGCTTCATCCTCCCCTCCAACTCCCTTTCACTTAAAGACGACGACGAAGAAGGAATCCCCATCCACCCCTCCAACCACGCAAGATGACACGCAACAACCGGCCCAAGCCACCCTCCATCCAACCACGCAATCCACAAATTCGCCCTCCCACTCAACGGCCTATAAACCGTCTTATAAAAACTGCTACACCACTGTTCCTCATCCCTCTCCACCAGCAACACCTTACTCTCAGGATACAGCGTGACAAGTTCCTCCGCGAAGCAGATGGCTGGGACGTCTGTCACCGCGACGTATTTCTGCGAGCCAGGGTGGGAGAGTAGGGTGTCGAATTGTGCGCGTGTGGTGTATGCTTTTAGATGGGGGTATTTGGCGGGCTGGTATTTTGCGCGGAGGGCACGGGTCCAGGATTGTGAGAGTGAGGTTGGGGATGAGTAGAGGGTGGATGCGTGTGTGCTGGGGTAGTTTAGGAGGTCGAGGGCGGCTTTGATTGCTATGCGCCGGTGGTATTAGTATGTGAGTGAGATGCTCGTTTGTTTTGTTTACTTGAGTGGATATCGCTGGAGGGGAGGGGATAATGGAGGGGTAGTTTACATGCAGTCCCAGTTTTCGACATGCCCAGACTCCATACATAGCTTGCTTTCTGTGGGTTATCAATTGTAGTTTGGGATTTCTTGGACGTCATCTTTGTATGTATTCGTTATGATATCAATTGGAAGAGAGCAGACATTGGAGCAGATTCCATTCCGGTTACATGTAGAATGTATTTGGTTTCGTGCCATAGGAATGGACATTCACACAATTTCTAGGAAGGGGGTTGATTGTAGAGGATCATTGCGCATTCCAGCCAGCTGAGCTGACTGCATTAGCGTGGTGGTTATAATAGAACTTGACCTATCGCAGACCTCCCTCTCTCTTCGTACGACTTCGCTTATGACACCTTGCAAAGGTGCAAAGGTGCAAGGTTCAAAGGTTCAAAGGTGTAAATATGCGACATGCAACAAAAATGAATGAACCAAGTCACATGCTTCCCTTGAACACCTTACTCCATCCCAATCAGGAAATGGAGGCGGCCTGTTGGGAAATTCTGTGGTGGGGGACCATCTCATCCATTGAGTGAGAAAATGTGCAAACACGTACTTGAAATCTAGGAACTTCCACATGTTGTTTGCACATTTTCTCACTCAGGGGATGAGATGGTCCAATTACGTTCGTTATGTCGCACCGCTGAAAGAGCTAGTTTTGACGTGACTCTAGAACCACTGATGAGAATACCTAAGAGACACTAGGCAGAGTTTTTGATTGACTATTCACGACCTTAGAACATGAGATGGAAGCCATAGGTATGAAGAGATCTAGATTCATGATATATACTGATATAAAATCAAGAAACCCATCCCAAGTCACCCTTACTCTATCATGTCTACCGTCAACCCAGTCTATATATACACCACCCCCCTCTATCATATAAATATGACAAGTGGAATCGTCTGACGCATATCCCACCACCCGAGAGTTTCAAATATTCTAAATGCATGACCCAAAAACGCCCCAATGACCCAAAATGCAACATGCAAGAAGTCAAAATATAAAGAAAGCACGCAGTTAGTATTTCAAAAGACACACAAGGAGAAAAATCTATGGGTCCCCCTTATCACTATCCGAATCTGAAGAAAGATCCACCTGCTTCTTCCGACTTTCCTCTGCCATCTCTCTATAGGTGCTGTATGTAAGCAACAAAAACGCCCCAATAATCAGACATCCGCCGAAGATCGCTGCCGCATTTAGTGCCTTTCCAGTGAAAATCCAATCCGCGATTCCGACAAGGAAAATGGTGAGGAGTGCGGCGACACTACTAAGAACAGGGCTTGTGAGACTGATGAGGACCAAGAAGCTACCCGAGAAAGTGGCATTTGCGAGAACTGAGATGACAAGTAGTCGTGCTGCTTCTCCGTGCGGGAGCTCAAAGGTTTCCCAGCCGAGAATATGGAGGATTGGTAGTGGGATCCAGAGAACGAATAGGGTGAAACATCCAATAAGAGACCCGAACGTATTTGCAAAAACCATGCCCCGGCCTGGACTCGTTCCCTCCGGTGGACATGCAAGCTTCTTGTAAAGAACCTCATAAAACCCGTAAAGTACACTCCCAAAACCGATGATAAGATTTCCAGCCAGTCTATTCTTTGCTTCCTTCTTCTCCCCGCCACCGACGTCTCCGGGCTCACCAGAATCGCCATATGCGATTATCATCACCCCCACAATTGCAACTACAACAGCGAAAGACTTGTCTAATCTGAGTTTCTCCTTAAGCATAGGAACACTAAAAGCGTATGCAAAAAATGCCGAGCAGTTATATATAGCGGTAAGATCTGAAGCCGACGTCATATCAACTGCGATATACCACGAGCCTCCGGCAACTGTAAGAGCGGTCGTAACAAAAGCCGTCATTCGTAACATATATGGGATCGGTGAGTGCTGGTTTCGATGAATTGATAATTCTTGTGTTTCTACCATCTGCGCCGTCGTCCAAACAAGGTAAACGTGTCTTCGCCAGAAAGTTTTCCATGGCATTTTCCATTTTTGTAATCGAAGTATCAAAAGTTGAAAGGGCCATAGCAGTGACCACGACCCGTGGGTCAAGTATCTGGCAGTGTTAGACCAGATTAATCCCAAGAGTAAGCAGAGAATACATACAACATGCAATATGCCTTGTTCCACCCCAACTCTGACTGGATATAAACGGCAGTCTCGGTCTGAACAACAAAACTGACCAAACTTAACCCCAAAAAGAACGCTGCGTATGTGTATTTCTTCCTCGTTGCCAGCTTCGCCTGCGTATCTGGACTGCGGCTACGCATGGTAGATCTTCGCGATAAAAATGGCGGCCTGATAGAAGGATCTGGCGAAGAGTATCCCGCTCTCCCTCTCTCGACATCATCTCCGTCATCTCTACGCAGCAGCGGTTGATGCGATCGCCCATCCGTGGGTCGATGTAGTGGCGGTCGTCGATCATCCATATCTTCGAAATCGTCGCCAAAGTCACTGAACTCGTCTACTTCCAGCGGTGCTCTCTTAGCCACAAATCCCTCTCCACCTGTTTTCCTTTCCACTCCGTTCGACGAGGCGAGTTTTGGGTCAACCGATGGTGTCCTCGAGGTGGTTCTTGAGACAGGTCTCGAGCTTGATAAATCGAGGGTGGATGCAATGGTCACTTGTCGTGTTGCTGCATCGGGGGTCGTAGAACTCGGGTGACCTCTAGAAGACATACACACGGTGGGTGTGAATGGAGTGCGGCCAGAAATCGGACGAGGAATTGGAGGTCGGGGAGTGCTGGAAGCGGCAATGGATACTGTATATTAGAAGTATTCGCAAGGCTTGTTTCTGGCGTAAGGTTAAAGGTTGAATTCAGTTTCGACCACAGTTGCAGACGGCAGACCGTGGCGCACGCGGGTTAGCAGTCAGGACCAGTACCTCCGTACAGTATCGCAGGGGCCATGTTGTATGTAGCTTGGCAAGCCGATTTCCTGGTCAAGGTTCAGCCCGTGCCCCCCTTGAACTTTCGGGACTTTCTCCACAGATGAACAATTGGAGCACCATCCACCTGCACCTGCATCGGTCGGTACGGTAATCTACGTCACTGGATACATGATATTTGTACAGCTCACACACTCGGTGAGAATTTCACATTATGCCCTTCAGATGTGCAACGCGACGAGGTGTTAGACATATAATTATCCGACCGAACTCGAGTACACGCATCATGCGGGCGTCCCATCATGTACCTAGCTCAGTGCACGTCATGTGAGTAAAGGCAAAAGGGACAGGATGAAAATGTTTTGATGTGCATTTGCCACCGAGTAAGAAATTTCATAAATCCCACAGTTATAGCATCTTTTTCTCAGCTCAGTAATAATGCGGGTGGATGGGGTAGTGCTTTGGACTAGATTGATTGTGTAGAAACTAGACGGGGTAGCCGAATATGTCTCTCCAAAGTTCAGGAAAAGGTCAGTTTGAAAGAGGCCGCGATACTTTTGGAGCTGCATGGTTTGTTGCAAACACAGCAAGTTTGATATCAACAAAAGAGGATAAAAAGGAGGAAATGTGCCTACGACACTTGCTTGGAGCTCCTGCATAGTCTGCGATAGCAGAAACTGAAGAATGGGAAATTCTTCATAATACAGAATTAGATTGGTTTGCTCAAATTGTTTGCAAGAGGTTTCCATTTGCAATCGCCCCTCAAATACTCGGCTCTTAAGAATGGAACAAACCTTTTGGACAGCGCTCCTCCGCGGTCTTCTTGATGAAGCTCACAGAGTCACTTTCACCACGTGGATAATCCCATGGGCAAAAAGAACGGTTCAAGATTGGATTGATATCATAATCGTCCTCCGTGGCTTCGCCGGCTTTCCTCCAATAAATTGAACACTTTTTGGCCTGGTATGCCTTCATCCCAAACTCCACGCTAAACAAGCAATAACCCGTTGTCTGAATTCATAGATAATCCTTCTTTCGGCTCGTCCTAGTGTATTGATTCAAACGCCATTCTACATCTCCATCCTTATTATCCAAGGTACCTCCTCGGATTTCAAAACATCTCATCGTCATCCGTGGTCCAACCTCCGCCAATTCCACGCTTTGATATCCGGTCTTCACAAAAACATGATGCCTTACTTCGATACTATCTTCGATATTCTTGAAAGTTACCACTCTACTCCCAATTTTGGTCTTGTTCGTGATGGCGTCTCTTGGTGGGAAAATGTGCTTCAAAACTTTAACAATACGCTGACCCAGTCGAGATGTGAACCCTTCAAATATGAGATGCGGATATGACTCGCTGACTGTGCCTCTGGAACTGTTTGGGATATCGTGACGGAGCACAACGTTGTGAAGGGAAAAGGATACTGTCGGACCATGGGGGAAATGTGATAATGTCAGAGCTGTGGGGGTGCCACGATGCTCGTGGAGTAGCACTATGTCTGACAGTCCTGACGCCTGGGCAGATTGTACCAAATTTGGGAGAATCAAATTTCCTCGATTCAATCGGATAGATGTAGGAAGCAATAATCGAATTTCTTTCGCAAAAGATGACAATCGGGTAGAGGGATCTCTTGACGTTGTGACAAGTACCCGAGGGTCGACTATTCCTGACAATTGTGCATACTCATCATCTAGATCAAGGTCTTCGTTCACGGTCCGGTCTGGTCTCGATTCGTCGTATATGTAATCTTCGCGCAGTGTCTTGTCGTTGGCAATGGCAGGATCCAAAGGTTTGCCCGAAGCTAGTGACGAACGAAGCTTTGCTCGTTTCTCTGATATCTCGGCATCTCGAAGGGTCAATGCCCGCCTGTAGAGGTAATCGCGTCTTTGACGAGCTTGTTTGCGCTACAGAAAACCAAATTAGCTAGGTACGACCCATGGCGGGGGAAGAAGGGGAAAATATTTGCTTGTCGCAAACCGAATACAGCGACAGTAGCACTCGATTTGCAGTAGTAGAAGCATTGCGCAAATGGATTGCGAGTATGAGATCATAGCTTACAATCATGTTTGCGACGCCAGTGTTAAGAGTAGAGTTTGATGTTGTGTGGAAGAGAGGTTGAGATGCTGGGACAGATGCAGAAGCAGAAGCAAATGCTATCTACCATAAATTTCATCGGACCGATTTCTGGCCGGCCTGCGCTAAATTTGTTAAACCTCAGCCTTCCAATGGTCGCGGCTCTGCACATCCCACCTCAAGACTAGACGACCAATATTCACCCCAGTCTACTCGTTCTGCATAAGTTAACTCCCGTCGTTTTTGACGAATCGAATTTCTGAGCTACCCCCGTACTAGGCCTGCCTGGAAAAAAAATCGTAAAACCAAAAAGCCGAGGATGACTTGAGAAGGCCCAGCGCGCTCTTGACAAATTCCATTCCTCCCTCCCGCTTTCGCGCGCCACACACAAGACCCAAATATTGGAAACAGTGCACGAGGTTAAGTAAGTACCTGCTCCAAACTGTCCTACAATTGTCGGATTAGTTCACCGTCGACCTTGTCGCTCAGTCTGAACCTCCTCACATCTCCTCTTGAAAACGTGCCCCTCACCCGTCACCCTTCGTACAGCACAGCACAGCAGTCTGCGCGGGCTGTGACTGTCACATCTTTCCTCTCTTTCCTTTTCACTGATTGTTTCCTACCGTTCGCAGAACTCCAACCCCGCTTCCACCATGGAGGGCGCATTTACACACCTTGGGAACCATCTCATTTCCGACTCGGCCGCTGCGATCAATGCAGGAGCAGACGATCTTTCCAACATTGACCCGGACGAGAGCCTTCTCTATGGCCAGTATGGTGGACGTGGAGGCCTTGGACCCAGCAGAAGAAGGAACGATGACGACGATAATGAGACGGAGGTGTTCGACGACGATGATGCAGAGAGTTTGGCTAGCATGCCAGTAGAGGGCATGAAGACATTGGGATTAAGAGGAGTCGAGGATGAGAAGGAGCTTCCCGCTCACGCTTGCGCGTAAGTGCACATATGTAGGAAAGTATTGTTTGGACTTGGGTTAACTGTGGCGAAGATACTGTGGCATCCACTCTCCAAGCTGTGTAGTCAAATGTTTGGGATGTACGAAGTGGTTTTGTAGTGCGCGAGGAAATGCGACGTCTTCCCATATCGTCAACCATCTCGTCCGTGCAAGACACAAGGAGGTCCAGCTTCACCCACTTTCAACCCTTGGAGATACGGTCTTAGAATGCTACAACTGTGGTACCAAGAACGTATTTTTGTTAGGCTTCATTCCAGCCAAATCGGATACAGTTGTAGTCCTGTTGTGTCGTCAACCATGCGCCTCGACGCCTTCCTCGAAGGATATGAGCTGGGATATTTCAAGATGGCAGCCACTTATTGAGGACCGTTCGTTTTTGCCTTGGTTGGTCTCTGTTCCCACCGACGCTGAACAACTTCGTGCCCGACACCTCGCTCCACCAATGATTGCCAAATTGGAAGAAATGTGGAAGGACAATGCTAGTGCTACAATTGCCGATCTTGAGAAAGCTGCTGGAATCGATGACGACCCAGCACCTGTACTTTTGAAGTACGACGATGCTTACCAGTACCAAAACGTATTTGGACCATTGGTCAAAATCGAAGCTGATTACGATCGCAAGCTCAAGGAAGCCCAATCAGAAGATGGTCTAGTTATTCGCTGGGATTTTGGTTTGAATAACAAACACCTGGCCAGTTTTGTCCTTCCAAAAATCGAGCTTGGTGACGTCAAGCTAGCCGTGGGTGACGAGATGCGATTAAAGTACAAGGGAGAGTTGCGACCTGTTTGGGAGGGTGTTGGATACGTTATCAAAATTCCCAACAACCAGTCAGATGAGGTCACCATCGAGTTACGAAAGGTTGGAAACGATAAGTCTGTTCCTACAGATTGTACCCATAACTTTTCTGCCGATTACGTCTGGAAAGCCACCTCCTACGATCGTATGCAGTTCGCCATGAAGACCTTTGCCGTTGACGAAATGAGTGTATCAGGTTACATTTTCCATAAACTTCTCGGTCATGAGGTTGCTGCTGCGCCTATGAAAATTCAGATGCCTAAGAAATTTAGCGTCCCTGGACTTCCGGAGCTGAACAGCAGTCAAATCAATGCAGTTAAGAGTGTTTTGCAAAAACCACTTAGTCTTATCCAAGGCCCTCCTGGAACTGGAAAGACGGTCACATCAGCAACTATCATTTACCATCTCGCTAAAGTCAATGGTGGTCAAGTACTGGTCTGTGCACCTTCCAACGTTGCGGTCGACCAGCTCTGTGAGCGTATTCATCGCACTGGTTTGAAGGTTGTCCGTCTGACTGCCAAATCCCGCGAGGATGTTGAGTCCACCGTTGGATTTCTGTCTCTCCACGAGCAGGTCCGTATGAACGACAGCAACCTCGAACTGACAAAGCTTGCACAACTTAAGAGCGAGCTTGGCGAGTTGTCCAGCCAGGATGAGAAGAAATTCAAGACCTTGACACGAGCTGCTGAGCGCGAAATTCTCAACAATGCCGATGTCATCTGCTGTACCTGCGTTGGCGCCGGTGATCCAAGACTGGCCAAGATGAAATTCCGAACTGTGCTTATTGACGAGTCGACCCAATCCGCTGAACCCGAATGTATGATTCCATTGGTTCTGGGATGCAAACAAGTTGTATTGGTAGGTGACCATCAGCAACTTGGTCCAGTCATCATGAACAAAAAAGCCGCCAAGGCCGGTCTCAATCAATCCTTATTTGAGCGACTCGTTACGCTTGGTCTTTCACCAATTCGATTGAACGTTCAGTATCGTATGCATCCTTGCCTGTCTGAGTTTCCATCCAACATGTTCTACGAAGGCTCACTTCAGAATGGTGTTACTATGCAACAAAGACTCAGACGCGATGTGGACTTCCCTTGGCCCGTTGGAGATACACCTATGATGTTCTGGTCCAACCTTGGCAATGAAGAAATCTCTGCCTCCGGAACTTCCTATCTCAACCGAACTGAAGCCTCCAATGTGGAGAAGATTGTTACCAGATTCTTCAAGGCTGGTGTTCAGCCACAAGATATCGGTGTAATCACGCCATATGAAGGCCAACGAAGCTTTGTCGTCAGCTCTATGCAAAACACAGGTACTTTCAAGAAGGAAAATTACAAGGAGATCGAAGTCGCTTCTGTCGATGCTTTCCAAGGTCGTGAGAAGGACTTTATCGTTCTATCTTGCGTTCGTTCCAATGACCACCAGGGAATTGGTTTCCTGAGTGACCCTCGACGTTTGAACGTAGCTTTGACTCGTGCCAAATACGGTCTTGTTATTCTTGGAAACCCCAAGGTTTTGTCGAAGCACCCTCTCTGGCATTACCTGCTTCAACACTTCAAGGAACGCAACTGTTTGGTCGAGGGTCCCCTCTCCAATCTCCAGACATCCCTCCTTCAATTCAGTAGACCCAAGACCACATATCGTGGACCGCAACGGTACCAAATGGCTCACCCTTCATTCAACGGTCGATCTGGTACCAATGGCAAGGGACCTCAAGAGTATGATGCGGGTTCTATGATGAGCTATATCCCTGACGATGTTTCCTCTGTTCACTCATCTGCCCTTGGTGGGGTTGGAGTCGGCACAGCCTACCCTCAAATGTTCAGCAACTTTACTCCTGATACTTGGCCAGGTCTTGACCCCCTTCGTAGTCGTCCAAACGGCCAGAAGGCTAGAGGCCGTGGTCCAGAAAGTATTGCCGGGGAGTCCGTTGCTGCCAGTGAGATTACTGACGCTACAAGCAGTGTTATGGGAGGCAAAGGAATCGGACAAGGCGGTGTAAGCCTTGGTTCGGGTTTGGATGTGGCCCAGAAGCAAACAAGTTTGAGTCAATCCGATCGTCTTAAGCGATATGTTGAGTCAGGCGGACGCATCGCAGACTACAAGACCGGAGATGCTGGCAGTGTCTTCGGTACCAGTTCCTTGCTCAGCGGAAGACGTCTGGATGACGATGAGAAAAGTGTTTCGACTGCATTTGCCAGCCAGATTGGCGGAGGATACGACTGATCAATGACCTGGGGGTCCTGAAGCATAACTGGACAAATCACCTGATGAACTTCAAACGGATTATTCATAACCCGAGGAACGTAAGACACGACACTCAGCTGTCCATCGTTTGACATCTGGCGTATTTTCGGATACGTCCTGAAGCCAGCGAATTGATAGCCCGAAATGTTTGGTTAGTCCACAGGCTAAATCGTCAATTACGCAGCCAATCCTACCCACTACTGCCGGCTACAATATTGAAGCATTGAAACGGTCCAATCTAACACTACCCAGGGGATGGAGATGGGGAAAGTAAGGACAGACACGCGCAGATTGTTTTTTGTGGAGGGGTTGATTGGCTGATTTTTGATGTGAGAAAAAGGGAATTCGATATATGGGGGGAATGTTTAGAGAAAAATGGTACAGGGGAATCGAGTGCTATTTGGAATCATGAGATTGACCATATTCGTCACTGGCTCGCCTATTACGGCGTGGGATACATCGTGGTAAGCGGGTGTCGCATGCTGAATTGTAAACGCACGTCTAGATAGTCTAATTTAAGAAACCTTTGTACCAATGACTGTTATGCGTTTCAATTGCATAGTCCCTTAAGCTCTAATAGGAGGAAAGGGGGGTTCAATTATGTCACGTTACTTCATTTGTTGAAGATGATTCTTCTAGACTTCTGGCGTACTATTTTCTAGAAGTGTACTGTACATACACACAAAAGTTTGTAAGACCCGTGTTTTGAAGAGGTCACGTGGTTGTCCTCCTTATTTACCCCTTTATTTACTACATTGTCCTTGAAAGGCCTTTTGTTCTTTGCGCTTTCTTCGAATAAACATCTATTTTACGCTTGGAAGTAAATCTTGATCCTTGAAGGTATTACAATACTGTTATGGTACGTAATATTTATAGTTAGCTTATAGTAGCCACTCATTGGCTATATCTATTCAGGGATACGGTACCCGATTGGCTTGCCTGATATTATAGCCGCTATGAGTTCTAGTGAACGTCTCAAAATCTGATTAGATCGCAACGAGCTAATACGCTCATTTGCACTTTTCTCTCGATCTTGATTCTTGTGGGTGATCATGGCTATCAGACACCTAACTAGGTATTAGGAAAGTAGATCCTACTGTCACGAGCCTTAAAAGACGCCAAAAAGAACGCCTCGACAGGGTGAAATTGAAGGGACTTTTGGAGAAGGGAAATGGCTTGGTTACCTAAGAGTTGGGGTATGCCTGGGCGAAGAAGATAGGGCAGGAGATACCGGTGCTTTTCAGATTAAAGAGGCCTGTGATGTAGTTCGTGATTTGGTAGGAGTTAGGATATCTCCCTTTTTGCTTCTTCTGGTGATGTTGGTAGAGGGAAAGACATGGGATAACGAGTGCCAGGCACGAAGCTGGTGTGTGTCAACACGAATCATAAGGCTGGCAAGGATTCCAGAGTTCCTGGTCTCGGAATGCGAGTTGAGGAGATCTAGAAATACTCTCTACATTTTGAAGACTAAGAAGGGAGTATTACTTCTGTACCTCAAACTTAGAGTTGATGTCAGGGCGTGCGAAGCAGCGCTATAGTTGTAGTACCCGACATCCCCGCGACGACACGCCTGACAGTTATATAATAACAAATAACACTCCTCCTCCCAGCAAATCAGTAGAAATGATCAAGTGGTGGGGCCACTGATTTACGAGATAAACCAACTTCCTGCACTCGAAAAAACTTCGAAGAGATGTAGGGATGCAGAGTTAGTCCGAGCCCGAGCTTGTTTTTTGCCGTTTTTTGTTTTATATTGTGCATACGTTTTTTTTATTTTTATATATATCTTTTAGGTGTGAGTATTAAGATTAGATGTCTAGAGTTGATTCTGGCATGCAGAAGGGGAAGGGGAAGGGGAAGGGAGCAAGGGTAGTGAATAGAAAAGTGGTGGCTGGATGCATATTTAACTGAGAAGTCTGAAGGGGGCAGCAGATTTAATATCTTCGCTCGTTGGAAGGGTGTTTCCAGGGTCTGCTGCTTATTTTGTCGTTGTCAAAGGCGGGAGTGATAGCCTATCAGATAGAAATACCATTCAATGACCAGGAGAAGAATCCTTAGTCAATATTCAGCTCGTAATAGCGGTCATGCATGCATGGTAAGATCTGGAATTATGATGTAGTATAAGAGAGATGGGCGTTAATCTGTACACGCCTGAGTTATAAAAATGTTATTATACTAAAGCCCTCACAACTAAATCAATTATACGAATAGTTTAGAATAATTAATGTATTTCCCTCCTTATTAACCTAAAGAAAATGAGACAATTGATTTACTTGTGCCAGACTTGTGGCATAATGACTATTGATAGCGTGTACGGATCAATTACCAGGTTTCTTATAAAGGTTTAGGCGCTGAACGGCCGTCGAAAGTCCAATTGCACCTCATAGATCTGTTCAATGGCATGATCATGACTAGGCAGGTATTACTCAAGCCATTGGAGAAAACAACAAGGAGCAAGCACTTCAACGGCGCTTAGCCCGAGTCCAATCGAGAAGCCAATTCTATTAAATTGGGGCCAGCTCTCGACTTACCGATGAGATCACTTGTATTTTTTCAAAACGACCCCATTCAATTGACGAGCAAATACTCGATACAGATTCATTTGACACATATCGAAATAAGATTTAGGATGGAAGTCTCGCCTGGTTGTTATTGGCGTTAGCGAAGCTTCTGTTCTGTTTGCGCTCCAAAGCACATCGCGTAGCGATCAGCTATTCCAACCAGGCAACACTGTATCGTTCTTCATTCCTAAACTCAAAACTCCGACGGATTATCCAGGGTCTTGGAGAATACGGAGAGGCGGCTTTCTATATGAGTGTGAAAAGTAGAAGCCCAACTCTCATCTTGAGTCTTTAAAAGCCTCTGATGTGCTCATTAGACCCACAAGTGACTCGTCACCTGGGGAGTATTATATGTTGATGCTTCTGGAATTGTGTTTCCGTGCAAGGATGGAAGACTTGTGGGAGTATTTGAGTGGTTTAGCTGAGAGAGTAGAGTATCCGACGAGGAAGCGTTTCAATTTTACATGGAGAGGAGAGGAATTTGAACGACGCAAAATGACTCCTGAGGTCACCCCTCGAAATCCATAGAAATACTGGGGGATAGGTTTGACACCAATCGTTTTCTGCTGCAGGCGTTCAGACTACGCCTAGAGATTGTGTTACTTCGAAGTTGGTTATAGCAGTGCAAGCCATGTGTCATGGTCAAAAACATAGTCCTCGGCTCTCGCTCAATTAGGGTAATGCCCCGCAGAATAAGAGTTACCCCGCCATCGACAACCAACTTCGTCTCCAAGACAAATCTTGTGCGGTGTCTTATTTCGAACGACCTCTTGTATCTGTGACACCATACGAACCCTATCTGGAAGCAGATGTGGAGGTTTGGGCCGAGGTTGACGTGAGATTGTACGATCACAGTTACACACAATGGTTCGATGTTACTTTTCACGCCATGCACCCAGAGAATATTTCTTCCTTTAAAACTCCAATCTCAAGTGACATTTACTTGGTCTCTTCCATTTGAAGTCAAGAGAAGTTGACAATATGGCTCCACCAAGCGCAGATGATGCGACAATCTCTCCAGGGCACAATGAAGCAGTTGCTATGTCATCAGAAACCGAAGTCAAGAAAACAGAGATATTAGCTGGAATCAACGGTCCCAAATTCCAAGATCCTTATAAGGAGCGAGAATACCAGAAAGGGAGGCTGGCGTTGGCTTTCCGAATCTTCGCCAAGTTTGGATTTGATGAAGGTGTTGCCGGTCACATCACTCTGAGAGTAATAGTTACTTTCCGTCCTACTGAGCGTGGATACTAATTGATAAGGATCCCGTAGAACCAACTTCTTTCTGGGTAAATCCATTTGGGGTTGCTTGGCCATTACTCAAAGCAACAGATCTCATCCGTGTAGATGCCAGCGGAAAGGTTGTAGACGGTGGTCCGGTACGGCTCTTAAATACCGCAGGTAAGATGACACTGACATTTCTCCAACAAGGCGCTTTCCAAACTAATAACTCTCTTCAGCGTACATGATCCACCACGCAGTCCACACCGCACGACCAGAAGTAAACTGCGTAGCCCACTCCCACTCCATCTACGGCCGTGCATTCTGCACCCTCGGTCGACCACTCGATCTCATAACCCAAGATTCCTGCGCTTTCCACGACGACATTGCCCTCTATTCCAGTTTCGGAGGCATCGTCCTCGCAGCCGAAGAAGGGAAGTCCATTGCTGCGGCACTTGGACCAAACAAAGCAGCTCTACTTCAAAACCATGGTCTCTTGACATGTGCAAGGACTATTGAAGCAGCGGTATTCTGGTTCATGAGTCTAGAAAAGTGCTGTCATGTGCAATTGATGGCGGATGCCGCGGCGGGTGGAAGAGGAGGGGAGACGGTGAAGATTGGAGGGGAGGAGGCGGCTTATACTTATAAGACTGTGGGGACAGAGTTAGCGGGGTGGTTTAGTGCTAAGCCTACTTTTGATGTTACGGCCCATGAGTCCGGGGATGAGTAGTTGTTATGATTGGTTTTGTTTTCGCTAATGATTCTCTCGGCCGTACTGGGGTTAGCGAACGAGTCAGTTAGAAGTACGAAACTCAACGAGATATGAATTATTGCTTGATTCTGGCCCTTGTTAGTTACTTTTGTCTAAGCCTTTTACTAAATGGTAATCGAGAATTGAATCATGACCACGGTATTCAAGGTGTTGTGTCGCGAACGTTCGGCTATTACGTTCCAGACCGCTGTTCATGACTGATTACTCCAGTTGCCGTTCTCTATCTTCTACACACATTCTCTTTCTCAGAATTTCCTATTCGGGTTGCACCTTGGAAAACTCCTTGCATTTCATACTCGTGACTCTTCTACTTCTTACCCAACAATTTCTTCACGATTGTTTCCGATTCAGACCAAGAACTCAATCATTTAAGGATAAAATAGTCATTAATTCTATCAAAGCACATCGGTACAACAATAAAAACACAACAACTCCTTCGTTTCAATATGAGAAAATCATTACTGCAATAGCAAAAAAGAGATTCATGTGCATCTCTCTCATCAAACACCCCGTGACCTCGTACTCGCATTGGCGGCTGCCAGGTACCCCTCCGAAGATCATAGGACGCCGAAAAGGAGGCTGCTGATCAGTGTAGAAATGGATGAGGGAGGGTAACCGGGTAATAGTAGTGGAACGGAGATCAACGGAGGAACAGACGGTGGAGATGCAGATACGCGTTTATGTGCAGTTACGCGTTTATGGCGTGATTTTAAATTCGAGGAATTTCCGACGTTGAGGGAGAGTGGTGGACCGGGAAGTGTATTTGATAATACGAAGTAAATTTACGGAGACTTTGGACGGGATTGCGTAACTCTTTAGACCTTTCTTTATCCCCGAAAAGGTAGCGTTAGACGTCCAGGGTAGAATCAATCAAAAGTTGGGTGATTTATCTAACTATGGTTAGGTAGGGATAGGTAGGGGAGCCCTAGCTTTAGTACTGTTTACAGCGGGTTGTAGTATATTTAAATTAAGCATTTACCTTGACACTTACTTAAAAATCTAGCGTTGAAGTCTCTCTTTTAACCTTCCTTTGCGTAAGAGAAGGCAAGGGTTTGATATAGAGAAAAGCCTTAAGATTCATTAATAAAGGCCGGTTCATCAGGGGGGGGGCACAAGACAAGGGGCGCCCTGAGCCTATGGCTTGGCAAATTTAGTCGAGTAACGCCCCTTTTGAAAAATACTCAAAAAAGCCTACTTCTTTTCGCTCGGAATTTGGCCTAAAAGAAGTCGCTAAAACCCTCTATTCAATTACTTTTTCTCTGGCATATTATAAGTTGAAATTCAGTGGGTTTGCATGAGGACTTTTGGTAGAATGCAGGGGTACAAACTGCACTAGATCTTAACGCTTATTAGGCCTGGGACGTAGTACTTCAAGTAAGAAGATGTTCGAAACGATACTTACCGTTAAAACTCGATACCGAGTAGCAAGTCCCAAAAGCTCACACCCAAGACTTTTGGCCTTGGCCACGCGAAAATCCTCCTGGAGTGCCCTTGCTACTCCTTTTTGAGCTCTTTTGAGCGCATTCGATAATAAAATGGATCAATATCACATTATGGTCTTTTTCTAACACTTACAGAACTCCCTCGGATACATTGGTGTGAGCTTTTGAGTCTTGCCGTCGAGCTTTTGACAGTACGAAATCCAGAGTAATCAGTATTGTGGCAGCATAATTTAGCGTTCTTTTTCCTACAAAGAAAGCTTCAGCATTTAAGTGAGATATGAAAGTTGTAAATTACGCATCCAAGAGAACGAGTATAAAAATCAAGAAAAGGGTGTTAGTGTAATTCGTCATCCGCCAAACCTAGCAGGGGGTCGGAATGTAAATCGATACCGACATTCCAGCAAACGCAATGAGTGGGTTTTTTTGGTATTTTTAGGTCTGGGCCGTTCGCGCGAGAGAGGGGCGGATCGACGTGGGCGGGCGATGCGGGGGTCGCAATACGACGAAAGTACCGGTAGGGCATGACCATTGGGTGGCAAGGGCGTCTTCTTGTTTACTATCTACCGGGTAGGGTAGCAAATCCATGGTTTGAGGAAAACAGATGCCCAACAACAATTTGATGGTTGATTTGAGAGATCGTTTGTGAGGCGTAATCATGTAATACGACGGGGCTGCAGATGGGGCAAATAGAGCTTGTGCTAGTAGTGCTTGGCTTTCTTGCTAGTTTGGAGATCTGCGGGAATGGAGGCTAGGTTGTATTCTTCCGTGCTTGGTCAAGTTATCACTGCATAACTTGCATAACTTTTACCAACGTCAACTCTCAAGTCCCACATCCGAGTTGCCTTGCAAAGCCTGATATCAAGTGGGTTCTTTAGGGGATTCAAGTATAGTGAGTTGTGTTTGGGATTTCTCTGCGCATGGAAAACATAATAATGTATAGTTTGTAGAAAATAAGGACCTTAACGAGTTGATATAAAGCTGCCCGTTGACCCGTATCTCCCTCTTCACCATACGCCATAACGCCGCTCAAAAAGATATTCCAACAAAAGCTCGAAGGATATATACCATAGGCAACCAGCGCCGTGAAAAATCCCCATAGAAAGGTTCCATTAGCCCATGATATGTTGCCGTTCCAATTTGACCGGTTCCATGCCCCGTTCTTCAGGAGGATTCCATCCTATCTCGGAAATGGGCCATTCAATCCACGACTTGTGTGCATCGTCCAACCAATTCCAGATATTATTCATAATCAATCCACTCCATCCCTCCATCCACCAAAATTTCTCCATCTTCCAGAACAGCACACAAGCATACGCAAAGATGGCGAGCGCTTCCTGAGTTCCCTCCTGCAAAGCGACCAAATAACCATCCGAACACCGAAACAACCAGATGAAGATATCGCCCAACTCGTGAGAGTGTGAGGGACACGAATATATGAATGAAAAGGAATTTTGGAGCTCGATCATGTTGTCGAGGTACATCTGAGCAGTGTCCGGGGGTAGGGGAGCAGAAAGAATGGAGGCGCGTAGGCTGGAGAGATGGTCCATTGTTGAGGTCTCGATGCAGGATTGGCGCTGACGCTGACGACGGACGCGAGAATGGAAAAAGGCTGCAAGAGGACCAGTACTCATGGTTTCCGAGAAGCGTTCGATAATGAGTACAACACCTTTGAAGAGCACGAACCATTTGGCAATTCCCTGCTCGCCTACGACAAGGAAGTCTTCTGGCTTTCGGGGGCGGCCGAGAGTATGGATGCAGGTCAAAATGGAAAATATGTGTAGTGGCATGCAGTTTTCGTTCGAGACGTTTGGGAGTACTTTAGTTGCCCCCGACAGGGCTATGTCGTGATGTTGCAAAGAGTTCGAGACATAAAAGTCCCGACGTTCAGGGTGAAGGTAGGCGAGGTGAAGGGCTGCAACGGTAAGGATACCACGCATTAGGAATGGAAATTCGAAAGCCATTTGAGGGATTTTGGTACGCCACAGAGTCCTGAGAACTGGATCCGAAGTCATTGAAAGACTCGTTGATAAAGACCAGTGATGTAGAAGCTCTAGATCGTTCATGTTTAGGTCGGGTAGTACTCCATTACTTGCCATCGCAAAGCTGGAGCTGAAGGTATTAGTTGGACTGGACCAGATCCCATTTCTTCCAATAAATCCGGCAACATGATGACCTGGCGGCGTGCCCACGTTCGAAGAGCCTGCTGGCGATGCAGCTGGTGGAAGGAAATCACAGGAGACAGAATGCTTGATGAGAATCAATAATCGGGCAAAGTGGTCCTCGGCGGGAAAACACAAACCTTGATACAGTTCCAGCAAGAGGGTCGTCCTTCGTCGCACTATGTCATCGAAATTTATTAGCCTCTGTCATCCGTATGAATTAAAAACGCTTTCAAATAGAATTCTGGTGTTGCAAATGTTTAAAAATGGAAAAACAGGCGCAAAAAGGGTTGAAAGTTGAAAATAAGCGAGGCGACCATTTAAGAGATTCCGAGTACCGACCTTGATTTTCCTATGTCCTAGGTTAGCAAAAGACCATTAATTCTACACTTTCATTCATCTCACCTTCTCTTGCACGTCCGACAGCCAGTTCGAGTTTTCCGGTGGGATCTCCTCGCGGTGTGCAGTACTTTGTCTGGAGCGTCCATCTTGGAGGTTTTTTTTTCGGGGCAAATTAGTTTAGTTATATGACAAGCTCTCGGTCGTCGTACTTCGTATGGGTTATGTAGAATACGACACGTATCGGAGGAGGTCAAAATAGAGCCTCCTCAAGCTAAGTCGAATCGGCCTTGGCAGTTCCGGCATAGAGGGGTCCACGCGTCACCCTTGAAGAGTTGCGCTAGAGATTCATGAAGCAGGGGGTTCGGCCCTATAGAATCCCATCACTTGTACCACTCTTTCGTCCGAATAGGCAACTTCTTAAAATTGCAGCCGGTTGCCGTTGGAAGAGTTCGAAACGGGGCACGAAAGGGGAGGAACCTCCGTAACCTCGTGGCTCAGCGCATCGTCACCTCTGCAGCCACGGTTCTTTGGGACGAGGGAAACTTAGCAAGGGCTTTGCGAGAAGCTTGACCTGTATACGAGATTTTATGCGAGAAGCTTGACTGACAAGAAGTCTTCTAGAAGTGGAAGGTCCGGTAGTTCAGGAACCATTCCAACGATGCTCCAGAAAAAAGGGTCTAGCCCTATCCTCTGTGCCATTGGGCTTAGTCGCTTAGCCTCGTTCGTTGTCGTCGTCTCTGTGTTTCGAATGTCTATATTCTGGGAAGGGCACACAAAGTCAATAGAAAGCTACTGCCCCATATTGGTAAGCGAACTTCGAACTCCGGGCCTTTCACGCCGTGGGCAGGACAATCACAAGCCAGGGCTATGTCCTAATCAATTAATCTTAAGCCTACGTCAATCAAGAGTTTGTGCTGAGCAGAGTAGAGGTACAGTACAGTACTGTACTCTCACGGAGTAGGTAGCGTAGTTCATGGTGTTTACCCCGGAGCGATCGACGGCAGAGTCTAGACCTTCAAGGGTCCCATTCAAAATGAGCTCATCACGTGCAGTATGGTGTTTGGACAGGATAGGTACCCGCCTGATGGTACCTATACCTATACCTAGGTTACCTAGGTATTCTGGGGTTCAGGGCGGACTGGAATTCTCTTGAAGTGAGCTAGAGTGCTGGGAGCCCCCTCGTCGTCAAATAGGGAGGCGAACGAAGGGGGAGGCCGGGAGGGGTGAAGGATCAGAAACCTGGAACACTCGGCACTCGGGCGGGTTTGCAAACTACTGGTGCACCAGTGGAACTGTGGTACTGTGGCGCTGTGGCACTGTATTTACCTTTACTTGTCTGCTTATTAGTGTAGCAGTACTTGAGTACGGGTGCAGTAAATGTAGAATGTAGAGTACTAGTACTGCACCGATCCCTCAGTGTTCTCGAGTTCGTCTGCACTGCACTGCACTGCCGGCCGGCTAAGTCGGCTGGGTGGGGTGGGCACGACCCCGGGATGACATGATCGTCCGTCTGGTATGTCCACGAGTCCCAAAAGCTTCTTACTCACTACATTCAAGCATCCTACCACTACTGGCCTCCACTGTGCCATTGACTGACGGCCTTCCCCAAAACTCAATCGATCGCATGCAGTCTCTGTCGCTATCGCCGCCGCCGTCGCCTCTGCCGTAACGACTTTGTCCATACCATCCCCTCCAGGCTCAACAAGAATGCCCGATCTCGATTCCTCCGCCCCAACGCATCCAACGCATCCAGCCCACCCCTCATCATGGAACCCCCACCATAACTTCGAATCCGATGAAGTACCAGAACTCCCCCCTTTCTACTCCCCACGCCCAATTCCCGTGTCGCGCGCAATCTCGGAGCTCGACTTAACGTCCATGAACACTTCGCATTCAGCGAATCCTTCCAACGACACTCCTGCTACTCCCACCGAATCGCCATCGGATTCTGAACAAGAATCCCTTCTCCCTGGTCTTGTATCGCCCGCCTTCACTCCACCCTCAACACCCGGCATACAAACACCTTCACATCCGTCAGCTGCGCAACATGTCCCAAAGCCAATTCCGGTCGATAGCAGTGTGCCGAGTGGGGGGTGTGGACAGAAGAAGCCGAAACTCCTCAAGAAGTTGCCAGAAGTGAATTGTGTGGTGAGGGCGAGAATACCAACCACAATCGGAGGGACAGAGATGTTCCTCCATTTATACCAAAACAACGAGGATAATAAGGAGCATCTGGCAATTGTCTTTGGGAATGGAATACGGAGTCAAAGCCTGAACCGGCCGAGGGACGGGGAAACGGAGATGGACCGGTTGATTCGGGGCGCATACACAGGGAGATTATTTCCTGGTCGGACGACCTCACGAATGCCAGAAAACTCGAATGAGAAAGGAAAAGGGGTGGCAGCGCCTACTGTACCGCAAGGGGAGCAAATACCAGAACCTGCGATGGTGAGGATACATTCCGAGTGCTACACAGGCGAAACGGTCTGGTCAGCACGATGCGATTGCGGGGAACAACTTGATGAAGCCGCAAGACTGATGTCACTTCCGGGCTCTGGTGGAGGAATTATAATATACCTCCGCCAAGAAGGTCGTGGTATTGGCTTGGGCGAGAAGTTGAAGGCGTATAATTTGCAGGATCTGGGATCCGATACTGTCGAAGCGAACCTACTCCTCAGGCATCCCGCTGATGCCAGGAGTTATGGTCTTGCGACAGCTATGTTGGAAGACTTGGGACAGAAGGAAATCAGACTTCTTACCAATAACCCAGATAAGGTCAGAGCTGTTGAAGGACCAAATCGTGAGATTGTTGTAAAAGGAAGAGTTCCAATGATTCCACTGGCCTGGAGAGGGAAGACTGGCGGTATTCGCAGCGATGAAGTGGGTGGGTATTTGAAAACGAAGGTATAGAGTACCAATCAATCCAAGTTTTAGAAAATCTGCTAATGCAAAGTTTCAGATCGAAAAGATGGGACATATGTTAGAAATGGGGAGTTAAAGATACACCTCTTGGAAATAGGCGCTCACATAACATTCATTCATTTATTGTATCGCATTTTTAGGAGTTATTAGGATCGGTCCAGGTGGTCTGTATATATGATACAAAAGGATAAGTCATGTACTAAACGTAGATCGATTATGTGGCGATATTAAAAGATGCCGCTTGAGAGGCAGTCTCTAGAATATCATCAAACTCAACCCAGTCTGCTGCTACGTTTCCTTTATGAATCCCCTTACTTATTTGCCGGAGTCGAAACTTCCTATCTCCTACAGGCATGCAACTTTCTTCACAGGGCTGAATTAAGAAATTATAAGCTCATTGCTAAAAAGTGGTCCTCCATATCTAATAATACAGGGGACCGCCAACGGTTACTATCGAGGTATATCCGTCACGTTCTTTCAATGCCGCCATTTGCAAATGCATTTGGTCGGTCATATTTTTCTAGTATTCCCTATTTTGACTCATCGGTATATACACATCCATTGAACCTAGAAAGTCCAGTACAAGAATAAACCTCCGAGATACACCACACGCACCGCCCAAGCCTTCAAACAAACCCCGACGCCGACCTTCAAATATTCTAGTCAAGCCCCCTGAAAGGCACAAGTTCAAGGGTGCCCCTCCACGCTCCCGTCACACCAAAAAAAACGGGCGGACTTTGAAAGCTGTCACTTATCAGCTTATCGCTCGAGCTTGCAGGGGATGAAGTGATCCGACGAATAGCTGTGAAGAAGCTATCTGGATAAGATAGGTCAAAGGACCTTTTGACAAGCCACCATGGTGAAGTTGATCAATTGGATGGGTGGATTCTTGATAGCTACTCCCGCTTCGCTGGAAAGGGGCCTTCGGTCTCGCCGCTCAGAGTTGAGCTTACTCTGGGTTGAGGCGAAGTTATTTACTTTCTTTGATGTTCGTTCTGGACTTGACTTGATCGTCGCTTTGGGGGTTTCTGTTGCATTTCTTTTTGCGAAAACAGGTTGATATCTGTCTGAACCTTGAGGGGTTTCAAGTATTTGGAAGACGAGAGTTTATCTGCAACACTACCGCGAAGATGGCGGAATCCAGGGTTGTTGAGCGGAGGGTCTCGAGGGTTGAGGAGATGGATGAGGAAGTTCTGGCGGAGTTTGGATACAAGCAGGAATTACGAAGAGATTGGGGTTTGATGCATAATTTTGGGATATCCTTCTCGATTATTGTATGGTTCGCTCCCTGCCCGAGCTTTCTGGAAACTTGCTAACCTCTATTACTCCCATAGTCCGTTATCACCGGTATCACGACGTTGTTTCAATATGGCTTGGTGACTGGTGGTCCTGGAGGTATGTTGATTCGGATTCATATATTTGGGTACGCAAAGGGCTGATGGGGGATATAGTTATGTCTGTGGGGTGGATTGTCGTTTCGGCTTTCACGATGTTTGTTGCTTTGGGGATGGCAGAGATTGTTTCTGCTATTCCTACGGCTGGGGGACCTTACTATTGGTCTGCTTTATTGGCTCCCGCCAATCATTCTGCTTTCGCTTCTTGGATTACTGGTTGGTGAGTTATTCTCTGCGTCGCTTATATTAGAGACTACTAACAGTTCTCGGGAAAGGTTTAACCTCCTGGGTCAAGTGGCAGTAACAACTGGCATTTCATTTGGATGCGCCGGACTCATATCTACTACAGCGACTGTAAAATCATCTTATGAACCCACAGCCGGAAAGGCAATTGGGATATACGCAGCAGTGTTGATCTCCCACGGAATCGTCAACACATTCGGCGTCCACGTCCTACGGTATCTAAATAACACCAGTATTCTACTCCATTCAGTTGGAGTCACCAGTCTCGCCATCGCCGTCCTGGCAAAAGCTCCCACCCACCAATCCGCCAAATTCGTATTCGCGACTTTCAGCGACGGCACAGGAGCAGACGGCGCAGACGGCTGGAGTATTCGCGCATCTCCTGCATACGTAGCAGCCTGCGGCGCACTCATGTCCCAATACACACTCACCGGCTTCGACGCCTCCGCGCATCTCTCGGAAGAAACGCGGAAGGCATCGTGGAGCGCACCTATCGGAGTCGTCTCCTCAGTGGGCTTCTCCTCTCTCTTCGGCTTCTTCGTACTCATGAGTTTCCTCTTCTCGATCCAGGATTTCGACGGCACGGTCGGTTCGGATTACGCACAGCCCGTGCTGCAAATATTCATCGATCTATTCGGGGATGATGGAGCGGTGGTGTTGATGTGTCTAGTCATGATTTGTGTCTGGCATTGCGGACTCTTCTCCATGACTTCCAATTCGCGGATGATGTTTGCATTTGCGCGCGACGGAGGGATCCCTCATTTCTTCCATAAAGTGGATGATAAATTCCAATCGCCCATTCGGACGGTTTGGCTTGCTGCCTTCCTAAGTTTCTGTCTTGCGCTCCCCAGTTTGGGGAGTTCGGTTGCGTTCGCGGCTGCGACGTCGATTGCGACGATTGGACTTTATATCTCCTACGGGATTCCCATACTGATCGGACTCATCTACCATAAGCAATTCAATGCTAGAAAGGGACCGTTCAATCTTGGGATCTTTTCGAGGGTTGTTGCGTTTGTGGCTGTGGCGTGGATCTCTTTCATCACTATTATTTTCTGCTTGCCGACTGCGAATCCGGTTACCAGCCAGACGTTGAATTATACAATTGTGGCGGTGGGTATCATTGCGATAGGCAGCTGTGGGGTTTGGATTGTGAGCGCGAGGAAATGGTTTGTTGGGCCCCAGAAGGAGATTCGGGAAGCGGAGTTGGGGGTTCTGGAAGAGGCTGAGGGGAGGGTGGAGAAGGTTTGATTTTCGTCGGAGTTGATGTTGGGCTTGGTGTTTTGGTGGGGATGCTTTTGGTGCTTTTTAGCGAATACTTGGGAGGCAGCTATTATATGGGATTATTTACATTGTCATAGATGTTTACTTTGTTTCACTGTCCCTTACTCCCCTGTTTTCGAACAGGCACGTGATCGGCTAAAACTCGTCTGCTCAGGGCTCTTTTGGACCGCTTTATATGCAGTGAGTTGAATGCAAAGGATCCGAAAGAACTACTCGAAGTGATTAGGAGGATTGGGTTCCAGCTTCAAGCCTCAAGATGCTGCGCTCTCTGTTCATGTTTGAGCTACTCTGTATTATCCCTTCCAGGGTATCGAGGACCGAAAAATACGTGCACTCAAAGTAGAGAAAAAGAATCTACCTTTACAACATATTCCCCGTTGAACAAAGTCATTTGGGCAACCAGGCAACGCTTCTATGCCTTTGAGTCTCAATTTGACCAAGTTATCGCATCCACTTTCGAGTGCACGGTTTTTCTGGTCCTCGATAGTCTGGATGGGATAGAGTTGATTGTTATATGGGACTCTATCTAGAATACTGTGTTTTTGTTGGAACTTACAACGCGCTTGTAAACTCGACCTATGATCTATAAATGGAAATTACGAGGTAATGGAAATGTTCCAAGCCCTCGGGAGCAGGTGCACAGACAGTAGCCAAATCAAGTACAAAAAGTAGGGATCCTAGGATCAATGTTCGGCAAATAGAACCATATTCCATAGAATTCTAGGTAGAATATTCTATATGGAATACTTCTAGAGCGCCTATAAAATAGAATGGAATACTTCTATCGATTAGTCTCTGGAGTTCTAGGAGTTCTATGGAATTCTAGAGGCTTTTCTGACTAATTAAAACATAGTATTTAGGAGTGGTTTTTAAGTGAATAGTATACGAGTAGATATATCTATTATTAGATTCAAGTAAATAGGGACTACTTTTATAGAGACTCTCTATAGTACGATATACGTAATCGTAGGCGTAGCACTACTAGCCCTCCGCAAGCTCCTAGCTACGATTAGTCTAGGGCAATAAGGGGGATAATCACGAGACATTTCGACAGGACCTTATACTAGGTATAATCTAGAGTCTAAAGCCGAATGGAAACCTCCTATTGGTTACCCGGACCAGGGCGACTTTTTCCCGGTCATATGATAAATTCTATCTAGAAATTCTATAAAATTCTATAGAATATAAGCCTCTAGAATAGAATAATTCTAGCCAAATCCTAAAAGGAATAGAATTATTCCAGAGGGGGGTTCTGGAATGGAAAGCAATTCCAGATGCCGAACGTTGCCTAGGATACGAGTATTTATACTTTAACGTCCCCCTCGCTAAGCGCGTTATCGGCTCCTATTACCTAGATAACTAACTTTTAGAAGAGTTCTACAAGAGTTTTACCCTCTTCTAAGCAATAAGCTGAGCGTTCCACGAGCTATCTGTCTATATTATAGAGCCGTTCCCCCTTCCTTTACCTCTAGATCTATTAACTACGTGTAAGTACTTCGACGTTTCTACCTGTCCCTCCCTCCCCCTCTGCCCCTCCCTATAAGTACTTACCTACTTCACTGTCCTATAAGTCCCCACTTATATTATACCCCTATACCCCCTCCCCCTCTCTCCCTTCCCTGCCTATAAACAAGTAAATAAGTAAATAAAGAACTATATCTTTAGTACAATTTAAGGTTCTACGGTCACCGTTGGGAGCAGAAAATGTCTGGTTCTAGAAAGGTTTTATACCCCGGGCCGTCCTGTACCAGAAGCAGGTATTGTCTGTCACCATTCCCAGAGGAAAAGGCGTGAGTGGTAATTTTCTGATTCCAAAGTAACGCCATCTAAATGGGTTACAATCTGTGTAAATAAGCTCAAATGTAAAACCGCTGGATTCTGAGCTCTGGGAGAATATTTCTTCGATATAGGTAGTCAAAATTGAGCGTCCTACATTTATATTACAAAATTCATCTCATTCAACAAAAGATAGAGAGGCTCGCCTTAAATCTGTGGGTAGATCAGTGGAAGCTGTGTGATAGCAGGCCATACCAAAATCAGTCATCTTGGTAACCGAAGACGATTCGAGCTATGAAGGACAATATGATTGATTGACTGGAATCCTAAGTTGGCATTATTCCATGGTGCCCTTTTCTGCGCCCGAAATCTATCTGCGAACCCTCAGCGCCCTTTTTCGTCTGCTAAAGTCGTTCCTTCCCTCCCTTGACGAACATTAGAGCGGCAGCAGCTGCCACTCATCCTCAAGCATATCTTCCCAGCAGCGCCCACCATCTTTTCCCCATCAAAATCAACGCACTAGAGCTGTGCCGTACACCAGTTCCATCCAAAAACGACGCTGCTTCCCGCGCTACTGTTCACACCTCATTCAGGCTGTGTGCCGTTTCTCGGTGAGTACTGCATGCCTGGCCACGAATCAAGACTGACATTCTGCAGCCAAGACATCATGAGCGAACCATATTCATTCATGAACGATCTCACTGCAGCTGAGGACTGGACGGAGTTTTGGCAGCTGGACCATGATTGGTGAGTCTAAAAAAAAAAGACGTACTCACCAAAAAAGGGCCGCGGTAATCTCAACGAATCATTCTACTTGCCATTCACACTCGAATCTTTTGGAGAATCGCTTTGAGCACCCTCCCCACCCAGAATCTGCTGTGGATCTGATTCAAGCTCATAACAAAGAGCTTTCTGACACAATTGTGCTTTCACCAGCGTAAGTAATCCTAAAACTGTTCCTCGGGTCAAGTTGAAATAACTTGGATAGATTTGCGTTGATATACTTGCCAAATGAATGTGCATCGTGCGACAGCTCCCTAGACAAAAGCGAGCAGGACCTGAACTTCGTCAATCCAACATTATATTGCAGCCGTAATCAAGAGCACAGCTACCTAACAATCGCCTGTCAAGTCTCAGGATGTCTTGAGAAATTTTCTCATCTCCAAGATCTTAAGAAGCACTACTCGAGCACCAGACATAGCAGTCTGAATTGTAGTATTACTGGATGTAATGCAGCTCTTTCAGCTTCATTACCCAACATAGCGAAACATTTAAAAGAACATCATCCAAACAGCAGCCAATACACCTGCGCAAAGTGTGAGCGCGGCTTTAAGAACGATCAAGATCTATCGAATCATTGTCGAACGACTGACCATGCAGGTTCAGTGTGTCAATTCCCCCAATGTGATACAGAATGAATTGAATTCAAGGATCTCAGGAGGCATCAGTTGATCCATAAGAAAAGAAAATTAACCTTCCCTTGTACACACTGTCCAACGTAAGATTTCCTACCTAAATCCTTCACAAAATTAGACCTCTTCCGTGTGGGATACAACCAGAAAGCTGATTTTTTCACGCAGGTATCGTGGCTCAAATGGGTTCAAGCGCAAGGACCATCTTATTCAGCACATGCGCAACTATCATCGTATGGAGGATTATGCATCTGTCAGGGGACGCTGTGCTATTTGCTGGGTGTTCAAATACACCAGCTCCAGCGGCCTGACGGACCATATGCTTGATGCTCACCACTCTTCAACTTACGTATGCTACAAGCCAGATTGCGACAGAGTAGGCATGAACGGATTTGAGAACAAAAAGGATCTCAATTCCCATCTCAAGAATGACCATATCTCTGAATTTCAGTGCCAACACCCAGGGTGTGATCGCATTGGTAGCAATGGCTGGCGCCGCAGAAGGGATATGGTGAGGCACATTGAGAAAGTACATGGTTCCGGCGTTGGTCTTTAGAGGTTGGGAACGATTTTGTACTCTGGGCGTACGAGGCTGATACTCTGTCGTTTCTTTATTTCTGTCTGTTGCGATTGTGTTCGCTATTTATTTATTTATTTATTTATTACTATTTAACGTCAGGCGGAATCTAACTCGCGTGGGCTAGGTCCTAAAAGTCCCATTGTTGGGCAAATGACGCTAGGGGGGTGCCCTAGGCTACAGGGGGTGTAAATGAAAGTGCGCTAATTTACAAGA